AGGCAGCCAGAAGAGCTAGAAACAGAACCTTATATCTCCCTCGACACCCACAGCAGTAAAAGAGAAGAAGAAGAAGAAGAAGAAGAACATTTAACAAAACAATTCTTCACTTACCATGGTTTTGCAGCCACAAGAGTAGTAAATATCCAAATTTGAGAATAAAACTTCAAAGTTTGTTCAATTTCCTAACATATTCTAAAGTTATGATAACTTTCTGGGTTAGTTTATCACTCAGGGGCTCTTAGTTCTCACCGAGTGCTAAGCAAAATTTCAGAGAAAAAATGGCAGAAAAATGAGCCATTACACACACACTATTTACTATTCACTTTGTACAGTTATTTATAGACTACAGCTGCGATGATTTCAATGTAGCTTAGCCATAGTATAGTACTATCTCTTTGTTTAGAGCACTTTCCTTCTCTTACACCATCAATACGGTAGTATGGTACATTGTCTGTGTAATAAACTCATCAGAATCGCTAGATTCTGAACAGCTGCGCTCAGCTTCACTGCTGAAAAATCACCGTCCGAATCACTTTCAGAAAAATCTAAATTTTTATTATCATTATCACAATAGAAAAAACATCTGACTGAAACAATTTCAAAGCTTCGGCCGCAGAAAGACGCATTATGCGACCTGTTCTTGTGGTTAGAACATTGGTATTCATGGCACTCAAAAACGACTTAGAAAATGAACTGTTAAAAAAATTTCACTGTTTTTTTTTTCTCTCAAATTATCCACGTGTGGTTTAGTCCAGGAAATGAAACTAAAAGGATTTCGGCAGAGTGACTTTCCCTGAATAGTTTAATCGTACCTTCAAACATTAGAAACTAGTACGAACGCGTGTGGGAAGCAAAATGTAAGGGACACACGATTGACGATGACACCGTTGTTTGGGCAGAACGGAACTTCTCAAACTACGCTCACACTGTTGTTTGGGCCTTAAAGAGTTAAAAAAGTGATACCATTAATTAGGGAATTAGTTTACACCGAGGTACATACAAAGCTGTTATCTGCTGTAACTTGGTCTGTGAATCATCTTGTGATCATGGTTGTAAATACAATGTAAACACCCGAGCTGAGCCTAGATCTAGCTGCCAGAATAGATTTACTACTGCTCGATACACTTTCATCACTGGCACCTGCAGTTTAGACAATTAAATGCCAGCATAATTTAACTTTATCTTAGCTCTTTCACTTAGACTTTTCTTCAAGCGGAAATCTTTAAAAAAAAAAAAAATTTACCTATTTCAAATTTCATTTTTAAAAACACATCGTTATTACTCTCTGAAACTAGGCTAAGAAACTAGAGGAAGAGAAAAAGCAGCAGAAGAAATTAGGACTTTGATCAGTTTGTATAAAAATCCAGGGGGTTAAAACTATGACCACTGTGCAAACAGGCCAAGTCAAATCACTAAAATAATTTATATACTGGGGGGGGGGGGGGGGGTTATACCCATTAAGTTTACTCGCTACACATGTGCAACCCGTACCAACGCTGCTACACAGTTTGTGATGTATTTAGTATTCCAGTGATAAAAACTTTGGACGTTCGGTTGTATTTATGTGCGCCTTTTCCATTTTCTCCAAATAGCTTTCTAGTTACATTTTATGTTATATTTAGCCCTCTTGATCATTAGCTTGACTGCAGTCACTCCCTATTTATGCTGTTTGACAGGTCTAGTGGTCACTGCCCAAAAACATCACATCATAAAAAGCCTGAGCTTTCTCAGGGCGACAAGCTGGCAGGGAGTTATTTTAACATTTTTAAAACGTAAAATGCCCCTTTTCCCACCATAAGGTACAAATATTTTTAGACCAATCAGCCCTCAATCAGTAAATGTGGTCAGTAACATTCTGCTGGGGAGGAAGACCTGGAAGCCATGATGCTGAGGGTACTCTGTCTCTAAGGGAGTTCAAACATGCAACTGTTGCGTGTCGATTTAGGGGTATCAACATTGTTTAGGTGAAATTTAGTGCAGCCTGGGTTGACCAAAATGCTGACATAGCCTAAGTAAATATTCTGAGTCAATACTGAGCCGGTGTTGACTGAAGGTGTCAGAGAGGCTTGAGTAAATATTTTGTGTATGTATTTACTTAGTTGCTAAAGAAGCCTGACTGAATCAAATGTGAAGAGGTTGGGGGAAAAAATCACAGGAAAAACTCACATTCCATGTACCAACAGATAAATATCTTAATAGGAAAGATGATCATTAACAGTACTGGATATTTAAAGTCAAAAGATAATGACTTATTAATGGGACATAGTAATATAATTAACAGATGGACAGAGTACATAGACGAATTGTATGATGATAATAGACCAGATGTGGAACTGCAGACCAACAACAATGGTCCAATAATGACTGCAAAAGTCAAGGCTGCATTGCATCATATAAAGATAGGAAAAGCACCCGGGCCAGAAAGATAGGAAAAGCACCCGGGCCAGACAACATCTCACTGGAAGAAATGGAAGCACTGGGAGATTTTGGGAATTGAAATAATAACTAAATTTTTAAATGATATTTATGATAGTGGGTATATTCCAAATGACCTTTTAAAATCTATATTTATACAGCTCTGCCAAAGAAACCAGGCACTTTAAAATGTGAAGACCATTGCACAATAAGTCTTATGAGTCACATGACTAACATTTTACTGAGAGTAATTATGAGAAGAATAAGAAACAAAATTAAACCAGAAATCAGCGATGAACAATGTGGATTTGTAGAAGGAAAAGATACAAACAATGCCATATACATCCTAAGGACATTGTCAAAAAGAGCTATAGAAGTAAAGACTGATTTGCACTTATGCTTCACAGACTATATAAAAGCATTTGACTGCCAAACATGAAGAAGTAATCAAACTGTTAGAACAATTAATCATTGATGGAAAAGATCTTCGAATAATAAAGTATATGTATTCGCAGCAAACAGCAGCAGCTATAAGAATTAACAACTGTTTAGGTACATTTCAGAGCATAAAGAGAGGCGTACGACAAGGATGTGTACTATCACCTGATTTGTTTTCAATATACAATGAATATATAATGAGATCTTTAATTTATATGTCCGCAACTGTGGTTAGTGGGCACAGTATAAACAATTTACGTTATGCTGATGACACAGTCTTGATAGCAACAAGTCAGAAAGAACTACAGGAAATGATAGACATTGTGGTGAAAGAAAGTGGAAGAATGGGGGTCTCAGTTTAAAAAATGGGAAGACAGAAGTAATGGTGGTATCAAAGAAAAGAATTATTCCTGAAAAAAAGTCAATGGTGTTATTTTGGAACAAGTACAGAAATTTAAGTATCTGGGCACATGGATAACATCAGATGGAAGATGCATTACTGAGATAGGAAACAGAATAGGACGGGCAAAAACTGCATTTTATAAAATGAAGAACATCTTATGCAATATATCTTTGTCATTGAGAGTTAGAAAAAGAATTCTTGCTTGCTAAATACATCAATTTTTAACATTCGGCTGTGAATCTTGGACAATCGGTAGGTAGGCCAAACAATTTCTTGAGGCCTCAGAGATGTGGTTTTACAGAAGAATGCTTAAAATACCTTGGACAGCCAAAAAGAGCAACCAAGAAATTTGTTAAGAGGCGGAAGCCCAAAGACAACTTATCACATAATCAGAAGGAGACAGTCATCATTTTTCAGCCATGTTATGAGAAGAGGGAAAATGGAACATGTTGTGACCACTGGAAAGATCTGTGGAAGGAGAGATAGAGGAAGACAACGAGAGAAGATTCTTGACAGTCTTGTTGCATGGCATGGAGGTGTGTCAGCACACAAACTGATACATGCTGCAGCAGATCGTAGATTGTGGAGAGGTATGATCGCCAACGCCAGTCGGCAAGGCACCTGATGATGATTGACTTAGGACAGGAGTTGACCAGTAGACTCATGGGGTGTCAACCGGTCTGGGTAAGGAGTTACAACAAAGTCATGCCGAGCAAGGCTGATATGAGTGAAAAATGTGCAGAAGGTGGGAACCTCAATTATCATGGGGGGACTATCAGAGAACCAACTCATGTGTACAGTCCAGAGAGCAAAGCACAGCAGTCCAGAGTTGAGGACTGTGTCATCGAAAAGAGCTGTGAGATAACTGTCCTTGAGTGACGACATATGTGGGGATCATGGTCATTACTGAAACAAGGCAGTGATTCTAAGGAATCTCGTAGATGACGGCGTCGCCTGAGGGGGCTCAGAACTTTGTAGTCGTGCTGGTTAGTGTAGAATCTATCGATGTGGCTGATGTTGCTGTGTGCATTTGGGAGTTTAAGGAATGTAGGTTCTCAGTCAGCCGAGGTAAAAGTGCCTGTTAGAGTATATCAACAGAGGTCAGCTGTGTTGGTGAGATGGAGTCTGTTCATCCTTATTTCTAGTCCTGACCTGGGAGTCAGCCAGCGACCGAGGAACTGAAGCGGTGAGCTCAAGAGTCTGATCGACAGCAAGTTGTAAGTTGTGTCATGGAGCGCCGCTAGAACTGTTGGCGAGTATGAAGCGTAATGAGGTTACTTCCATGTTAGCCAACATGAGAACACGTGGCACGTTACTTAATACCATTTTCTTGTGTACAGGTTGGTAGAGCCAAACGTTCTTGTGAATAAATGCATGACGGCTAACCACTGTTGAGTCTTCCTGACAGTATGCTCATGCGTTGTGTACAACAGTTTGGAGTTTAAGAGAAAGTCATATCCTAGACACTTGGTTATATGTCTGTGTGCTGTCACCCATTATTAGCACACAACAACAACCCCAGACAAGCATGCCAGCCAATATATCACTGCAGCTCTCATTCACATTAATTAAAGGTGAATGTGTTTCCCGGTACTGACAGACTGGCCCTACCATCAGACATGATGTCAGCCACAACAACTGAGAGAAACAAGAGGAAATCAGGGTTTTCTTTTGTTTCACACATCAGTGTCAACAGTGTGTATCAAATGTCTCCACTTGCTATATCACAAAATGTACAAACCTATAGCTGAATATGTTGAAGCAGTTTTGGGACAAAGGATCTCTGCTTGTTTGTGGTACTCAAGAGCAGCTTCATATTTTCCCAGTTTGCGACTAGTGTGACCTAGATTATTCAACAAAGGCTCCCACCTCTCAGGAGGCATTTCATCACCAACAACCTGGATGCAGCTCAAAGCTTTCAGAAAACATCTCTCTGCCTCCAGGTAACTGAAAATACAAAATCATAATTTATTACTGCTTCAAATGAGTGGAAAGATATAAATAATTTGTATTATTTATCTGTCTGTCTCTAAGCTGTAGCCACAATTAGGTAGCATACTATCCACTTAGCTGGATCGTCATGTGCTCGAATCCACATCAAGGAGGGATTTTTCAGACCTGGGCCTAAAATAGGCACCAGGAAATTTACGCTAATACAATATGAGGCTAGCATTAAATACCCAATATTTCTCTTGTAGTGAAACAAGTTCTTTCACTCTGTGAATCACAAAGCCATTTGTCTCTCAGTCTTTCTCTGCTCCCTCCTTTACCTCTCTAAACAAAATTACAGAATCATAATTTTCCCCCTTTCTTTAAAACAAACATGCAAGTGATTTATTACATTTATGTATAAAATAACCCTTTCTTGAGGTGAACCCAATGACTACCACAATCACATATTATGCGTCCGCCGACTTTTATGTAAAAGCTAACACGATTGCTCCCCCTGCAATCATAACTTTGGATGCTTGCTACCATGCGAAAATTGCAACTTTGGCAATAAATGTTGTTAAAACCATTAGCCCATTCATTTCTATATGGTTTATTAAGGGAAACAATTTGGTGGTGATTAAGGTAAATTTTCCACAATTTATTTTGGTGAGCTCCCAATTTGGTGGTGAGTAAAACTGTTTCAGTATGTATTGTAAATTTGTCCATTATGGCTTTGTGGCTTATTTTGTTTGGTGAATCCCCATTGTCCATAATACATAAATTTCATGTTTAAAGTCTATACTGCTGTCGAAAAAAGATTCATTCAATTAGGTGAAAAAATACAAAAAAAGTTTATATAAAATAGTTGTGAATCTATTGTATTTTTTAGTACACACTAAAATACATGGTATCTGGCAAAGTGCAAGGGTTAACAGATGTGGTAATCGGTGGGTTAAATATTCATCCAAATGTATGTATAGTCTACAAGTTGAGAGCTGTGATTATATTGCAGCTTTTTTCTTCTACCCATTTTGCAGTGAACACCATGCATGGCTTCTTTGTATTACTGTTACTGACTATTGACCTAGAATATGACAACAACAATATACTAACATGAATGTAATTTAATGGACTCTGACAGGCCCAAATGTAACCTAATGGTTGAATGGGGTTTCTGAGACTTGCGCCCGGGTGATTCTCTTAATGGTAGCATTTTGTGTAACCGGGTGATTCTCATCTCAATGGTAGCATTTTGTGAACTGGGTGATTCTCATCTGAATAGTAGCATTTTGTGTAACCGGGTGATTTTCTTAATGGTAGCATTTTGTGTAACCGGGTGATTCTCATCTGAATGGTAGCATTTTGTGAACCGGGTGATTCTGATCTGAATTTTAGCATTTTGTGTAACCGGGTGATTTCATCTGAATGGTAGCATTTTGTGAACCAGGTGATTCTCATCTGAATGGTAGCATTTTGTGTAACCGGGTGATTCTAATCTGAATGGTAGCATTTTGTGTAACCGGGTGTTAATCACGCATTGTGTGGTCCTGGTGAGGTTGAACTTCATTCACTCAGCAGCCTGATTATCTTTACTTCAATATCCTCTTCATGTTGCTATTGACACATGAGGCGTTCACAAGTGATCTCCATTGCTGTCGGTCTGCTGCTTTTCTGCCTATGGTATCCCATATGTCAGTTTACATTCCTTCATTTCCCATTCTCATGTCCTTCTCCAGCTTTCCTCAGGTTGTCCATGTCTGTTTTCCCATCTGCTGTCCACCGGAGAGTTGTTTCTGCCAGTGTCACAAGGCATTCTGCAAACATGTCCAAGCCATCTCCATTGTCTTACTTTGATAACATTTGCCAGTGATGCACATTCTTTCCTCCTCAGTTCTTCATTTGTGATCTTGTTTGGCAAAAATATTCATAGAATTCTCCTTAAACATTTATTTTGAAAAGTCTCTAGTTTATGTGTAATTCCCGCTTTCATTTTCCAACATTCGCTGCTGTATAATAGTATTCCTAAAATGTTGCTCTTGTATATTCTGAGTTTGTCTTTAAACTAAATCCCTTTGACTTTCATATATTGTTAAGCATGGCAAATGCTTGATTTGCTTTGTTTATTCTTGAAGTTACATCCTTTTCAGAATCTCCATCTGGGGTACTTTACTTCCGAACTATATAAATTCTTCAACATCCTCTATAGCTTCATCATTTAAGATAACTGGATTTTCTGTTTTGTAATTATTTCTCATTACTTTTACTGGTGTTTATTCTGAGTCCTATCTTAAGGGCTGTCGTTGAAAGTCTTTCCATCTTTTCCTGAGCGTTAACATGACGGCTTGATATAAGGCTGATGCCATCTGCATAGTCCAAATCCTCTAAAACAGAGGTATGTGACCACCTGATGCCTCTTTTTCTATCTCGTGTAACTTCCTTCATCAGCCAGTCAATGGCCAAATTGAACAAAAGGGGGATAGTATGTAACCCTGTCTCACTTCTGTGTTGACAAAGAAACTTTCTGTTTTATGATTATCACAAACTACCTTGCATTGAAAATGGCTGTGATCAAATTTACCATTTTCTGTGGTACACCATAGTGACGCAAAATCTTGCATAGTGATTCCCTATGCAGGCTATCAAAGGCTTTTTCAAAATCCACATAGGTCATATAAACTGCAATATTCCATTCGTTTCTTTGTTAAATTATTTGACGCAGCGTGAAGATGTGATCAAAATATGAACAGACATAAAATAATATGCCTGAATGACTCATACACAGTTTACAGAAAGGTGAAGTACTTTCATATCAAACGCTATAATGGCTGGAATAGAAAAGAAATGCGGTGTGATATTGGGAAAGCCAGCAGAGAAAACCAGCATAAAAGTGGGCACAGGAAAGTGCACGAGGCTTGGGAGTTGTGAGAGTTTCTTTCAGAAAGACTGTGATGAGAGCAACATTCTGGACATGACCTGCCACATGATGTTGATTATCATGGAGTGGTGAGAAAAAGGCACTGCTGGAAAGGACATTAAGAAAACCTGTTGACCCTGTCATCAGGTAAGTGCTAGTTCTGCAGTAATTTGAATTTCTGTGGCTTTACAGCTTTAAGCAGCTGCCACTATGCCTGTACAACAGTTCTGGTTCCCTTTGTGACTGCATAATGTGTAGATGGGCCAGGTGTGACTATATTTACTTTAAAAAATAGAATTTAAAGGATTTTTAAGGTGAAAATGACCTTTAGTATTTATGATGTCAATATTACACGATATTTGTCATAACAAAAAGTTATGGGCTGATTACTTCCATTCATTTGCTGCTATAATAGTAGGGGAAAATGGTTAGAAGAATGTAAAACATTATTTTTAGTGACTTGAAAGGGGGTGGTGTGGAGTACTGCAGTGGCCATCGATTAGCCTATCTGCTTGGTGGTCAGTTTTTAATCTCTTGAACTTCATTTATTTTTATTTTTTAAATGCAAGGCTCTCAATTTCTTCTGCTTCTTTTTCTTCTCTTCTTGTTTTTTAGGGTAGATTTTCAGAGAAATATGAAAAGGTCTTTTTTTTTTTTAAAGATTAATAAAAAGGGGGCAGAGAGAGAGGGTTAATTAATTATTACCACTAAAACTTTTTCTTTGGAAATGACAGAGAAGCCTGCAGGTAGAGGGGGCCTAAAACACGAGGACAGAATTAAAGACAGATAAATGAAATAGGGGCAGCACAGAGTAGCTACATGAAAAAGCAAAAGATATGAGGACTCGATGTGAACTTACTGGTGGCCTATGTTCCACCAGGATACTGAAGGCACAAGGGGAAGAAATATAACCGCTAGTACAGTGCCAATACTCTTCAATCAGATATTACTCCAAAGAAACTACTCAGTAAAATGGGGAACTTACTATAAAGTTATAATTTACTACAAACAGGCTAACTACAAAGAGACTACACTCCAATGAGGCCACTTACTCCAAGTTTCCAAATGCAATGACCCCCATCTCATGCAGAACAAAAGGGTCCTCTGGAGCTATACTGAGGGCCTGGCTAAAGAAACGTTCAGCAAGTTTAGGATTGTTGGTGAGTCCATACTCCAGACCAATGTACAGCTGTGGTAGGTGGCACCTGCATGTGGATTGGTAAAAAAAATCAATTGTAATCAAGTCGTTGAAACTTATTCCTGCCTCCATATTTGAGACCATCGCTGCTGTGGGTGTGTAGTGGTAGACAAGGACATGATTGAAACCATTGAAATAAAGCATTATTTGGGATTTTATTTGTAAAACTTCAGATGTCTGCAGTGTGAAGCAAAACTTTGATAATTTTTTTTTTTTTAAAGCATAACCCCTTCTAAGTAGGTTATCTTTAAAAGATATGACAATTTTCAAGGTGAATAAGAATTTAACAAAGAGTTGTAATGATAAAAAGAAGCCTAAGATAGCAAAGACGAACAGGTCAGAAGAAACATATTTTTTTCTGAATTCTCTTGTCGGTGGGTTAGAGGTATCAAAGTTCTTAGAACTTAGAAATTCTAGTAAACCATGGTTCTGATTTATCAAAGCAGAAAACTTAAGAGTTGATTTTGACAACAGTGTGAGCATCAACCACTGAGTGTCAATGACAATCTATTTAACATAAAAAATTTTTTTAAACAGCCAACAAATGCTGGGGCTGGTTTGGTCAGTTCTGTAAAAGTTAGACAAGTAACAGTTTTGTTGTTGTTAAAAACCTAACAACTATTTTTTTTTTCTTCTGCATTCATCCAAGAACATAATTACATTCTGCCTATTATAGCATTACCTTTCTGCTAGAAAATTTGACTTCTTCAAGCATTTGTCACCTGGATTAGTTTTCCTAGATCAATACAAATGACTTACTAAAAAAAATGTACCCTGAACTGCATACATTACTTTGTAAGCAGGCATTCCTTAACTGTTTCCCACAGAATGCTGTTTTTCTGGTATTTAAAGGCTTTTGTTGACATGAATTCGTTGGGCGGTGGCCACTACATCTATATTATAGCTATGATCCTGTCTACAACTGCATACTGTGTTGACATGAGACATGGCGGGTATGACTATTTAAGCTTCCCCCCCCAAAAAAAATCTGAGATTTTTGGTATTAGAAACTGTATTTCTGAAAACTGTGACATCATTTTTGATATCAGAATCTCATAAATTTATCACTTTGTAGTTTCTAGGGTAGTTTCAGATAATTATAAAGGTAGGTTTTTTTGTTTACTTTTTTCAAAAATAAAATTTTGAAAAAGGTCTTTCAAGACTTTTACGGGATAGAAGTATTTGTTCAAGATAAAAAGATTGAAATATGCACCTGAAAGTAACAACTTTATACAGTAGAGAGAGTGAAGAAGGTGGAAGGAGGTCACTAAAGAAAGAAACAAAAAGAGAGAGAGAGAGAGACAGACAGACAGACAGACAGACAGACAGACAGACAGACAGACAGACAGACAGACAGACAGACAGACAGACAGACAGACAGACAGACAGACAGACAGACAGACAGACAGACAGACAGACAGACAGACAGACAGACAGAGAGGGAGAGAGAGAGAGAGAGAATTGGACGGAGTAGCAGTGAAGGTGAGAGAGAAAGAGATAAGTAAAGACAGATAAGCTATATGGATGGGACAAACAGGGCTGGAGAAAAAAATACCATCAGGTGACTACTTTAAAAAGAAAGCAATTTTTAAAGCAGTATCAAATGAACAGAAAGAATATCTAAAACTGAGATATATATATATACCCCCTCATGATTTGTGAAGCTGTGAAGTAGGCTGCCATAGCTTGATCGTGGTCCTTATTCACACCAAAAGTATGTCCGTATGCCAACCACGAAGGTCCATGTGCTCTTTCCAGTGTTGTTGCTTTACTGAAAATTTGAGAACCCATAAAAATTAACTCTACAAGAGCATAATCACAACATCAACAAAACAAAAATATGATCTAGTCTTCTTCATATGCTAATCTGAACAACCTTCAAATGCAAATTAGAACAGTAATTAAAGTTTTATAGTTTCATTAAAATGTTAACATGTGTTAGAATATAACTAAAATATAAAATACTGGATCAAACAGAACACTAAAAAAAAAAAAAAGCAATATTAGAACAATACAATTGTTATAACCATTACTCGAACACCCCAATGTAAGTAAAGAAAACAAATGCCAAAAAAAAACAGCATCTGATAGCTTACTGATACTCTGTCATGACAACAACAAAATTCAACTTTATTATTTGCTATTGCATACATATGTTCAGTCTCATAGAGATCATGTTTAATATGTGCTTAAAGTGTAATAAAATGTGTGTGAATGTGAGATAATTGTTCGCTAGGAGAAGTGTGACATTAAAATTGAAACTGTGACCAGTTTGGCAAACCAGTGGAAGATTTCTCCATACAGTGGTGTTCAAAAAGAATTTAGGAGATGTGTGTGAACCAAGTTTACCAAATAAGACTAGTATATAATGGAAACATTAAATATATGCGGCTGGGGCAACAGAGGTGAGGAGATTATAGAACTGACGGAAAAACATCAAGTGAAAATTGAAGGGACGGGAGATGAAGAGACTGCACAAATCTGTGTACTGGCATATGTTGTTCTGATACTCTGGAATGGATAAGAGACAATGTGAAAAACACAGACACTAAGATTGGGAGTAATGTTTTAGACATCAGTTACATCTCAAAAAGAGCTATTTGCATTAAAATACAAAGAGGCAGAAGAACACAAACCACATGCAAGAGTCCACATCCTGACATAGAAATTATGGTAAAGAATAACTAGATAAATATGAACTAAACGATAAAATTTCCAAAATTAAACCAACAGATGAACTTAATGTAATGGAAGACTTCAAAGGTAGAAAATAAAAGGACAGCTTTTTCAAGATATCTGGCAAAGTGTGGATATAACAACAGTCAGAGAAATGGAATTTGGGAAAGACCACAAGAAATATGTGCACAACATAACCTTGGAATTACCAACACTATTTCTGACCAGAGCCTCTCATTTGTTTACTTGGTACAAATAGAATGATCCAAAAGTGAAAGGCCAAACTAATTATAGAGTGACAAGAAAAAGAGACTTCAGTGAGCTCACAGCAAAACCTTGTAACACGAACTCACTTAGGAAGAACACTTAGTGAACATGAACACAATTTTGGTTCCAGCTAGGTGGTATTATTGTTATTAGTCACATAGTTTGCAAAAATTTCTTTTTAAACTCAATTTTCAGCCCTTTGGAATTTGTGTTAACATTTTACTGTATAAGTATTTAAAAATATCATAGGATAATGATTTTTTTTTAAAAAGTTAGTTGAGTATCCTTTACAAGATGTTGCAGAACCAAACCCAGCATTTTTTGGCTGTTATTCTTCTTTTAGACAAATTTACATACAGTAGTTTGCCATTGCTTTCTGGATGGTTAGCTTTTCAATACTACTGTCGAAACCAATGCAAGGCGCAAGGTCTGCAGCTGAGATCGAACCTGGCACCCCAACAATATGAAGTGTGCTCGCAACGCCTAAGCCACAGATGCTTACATGATGATTTAAAAAAAGTAAATTTATATGGAGGAAAGAAGCGATTTAACACTGAAATTATAAAATGGAAAGAACTATAGAAAGCTAGAAGGGAAAGAGAGAGAGAGAGAGAGAGGCAAGGAGACAGAAGGAAAGAGAAGCAAAGAGAAAAGGGGGAAGAGTAAAAAAAAGAGAGACAGAGGGTAGGAAAAAAAGGGTGTGAGAAAGAGGTAACAAAAGACAGACATACAGAAAAGAAGGGGAAGGATAAATAGAGATATGAGAGGGAGGGAGATAGGCTGACACAGATAACTGAGGAAGGAGAGAAAGGGGGCAAAAATACATAGAGATATAGAAAGAGAGGGATGGAGGCAGACACAGATAGATAAGACAGGGAGGGAGAGAGATGGAACCAAAAGTCACACAGATACAGAAAGCAAGGGGAAAGAGACAGCATGTAGGCGAGGGGAAGGAGGAAGAGGAGTGACAAAGAGAAGGTAGGGCAGATAGCGAGACAGACAAAATCACATTTTGTCTCAATTAATTAGCATAAGGATGTATATTGAGTATAGCTGCAATCTGTTTCTTGGAAATTACAATGCATTCAGTTTTGCTCATGTTTAATGATAATCTCTTTTCACATTTCTCTATCACCTTATCTTCAATCACCTGTAGACTACTTTCTTTATCTTTCTTTTGTCAATATCTGCTTATGGGGCTGGGCGTTTCAGTTCATCAGACGTTTGGCAGCCGAGCCAGGGCACCCTTAGAAGCTTGATATGCTGTGATGTTATGTAGTCTCAAGTTGTCAGTGACTCCTTCAACTGATCTTCTTCTCGGTCTTTCCTGGCCTCTTGATGTTTCGATTTTCAAATTGCACGCTGCTGCTGGCATCATTGGTTTCATTCTCACTTGATGGTCAAACCATTTCATTCTTTGTTTCTCAATAAATTTGACAAAGGGTGTTATTCTAACAGTTCTTGTGATCATTTAATTTCTCACTCAATCTCTTCTGGTTTTCTCTCTCATTTTCTCTCTGGACACACATTTACACCGATGTATCATTGGAGGGAGCAGACAAAAAAGGAGGATCTGGATCGGTCATCATGCTGCAAGATGGGACCACAGTAGAAAAGTCATGCGCCTCCAGAAGACTCTCAACAAACTTCAGAGCAGAGCAGCAAGCAATTATTGATTCAGCCAAAGTGCTTGAGGAAAGAAAAATTAAAAACAGCAAAAATGTTTTCCTTTGTGACTGCATGTCAGTCCTCCAGGCGACTCACAGGGACCCACGAGACAACATGGAAAGAGAACTGACCTGTCAGCTAAACAGACTCACAGAAAACAATCAAATTGCTCTCCAGTGGATCCCGGCTCACTGCGGCATACCAGGAAATGAGTTAGCAGACAGACTTGCAAAAAATTGAACAAAGGAGAAACAACACGCCCATTCATTGTCATTACCATAAATCAGAACACTTATCAAAGGAAAATAAAGGGATTGTGGAAAGAACAAACTAACAGTAAACATCCACAAGACCCCATCAGCAGACTCAACAGAAAGCAACATACAACAATTTTCCGTCTATGAACAGGACACTGCAGGCTCAACTACCACATGCATAAAATAAAGAGTGTACAGTCCCCACAGTGTGCCTGTCAAACAGGACCCCAAACCCCTCAGCACATTCTGCAGACCTGCCCACTCTACCTGCAACTTCAAAAAGACACCTGGCCTCAAGAGCAGAGTGTGCAGAGCAAGCTATGGGGAACCATGCAGGACCTGCAGCTGACATGCGAGTTCATAGAGGCAACCCACCTGATGGTCTGATCTGAGCATACAAAACCAAACGCAAAGAAGAAGAAGAAGAAGAAGAAGACCATCTTTAGACTGAACAGACTGACATGACATTTAGCACGTATGCATTTGGCAGTAAACACAATTACTGGAAATATGCAAGTAAATAATCGTTACCTTTGTCTTCCCTAATCCACTGTCTGTGTGGACTGGCTCTTGCTATCTACCAACTATAACTGTCAAATCTACTAACCAGTAAGTAATAATCATGAACCTAACGATGTTACTGTTTAAAAAAAAAACCAATAGTTTATCAATTGTTCCTATAGTCACAATATAGGAAATTCATTTACCTCAGGTACCATCTGGCTGGCAAAAAGTTTTCTGTAACCATATAGTAGCAACCAACCGCAAACCAGGATATCTATTACAAACAGACACCATGAATGATGATGATGAACATTCTTGTGAAGATGATAAATCAAGCTAACATAGGAGCATACTCTGGCTGTCCATAATACAGCAATACTGGATCAACATAATATTTCTCTGTCACCCATCTTTCCTCAGCATAATATCTCTTTTTTCTCAGCATCTCCATGTTTTTAATGAAAATCTTCCATGAATCTCTGTTCTTTCCTCAGCATCTTCCATGCTGTTTAATCTCTGTCGCCCATCTTTCCTCATCTTCCATGCTGTTTAATCTCTGTCATCTTCATCTCTTCCATGCATCTTCATGCTTTTAATCTCTGTCACCCATCTTTCCTCAGCATTTGTTTAATCCATGCTGTTTTTAATCTCTGTCGCATCATCTTTCCTCAGCATCTTCCATGCTGTTTAATCTCTGTCACCCATCTTTTTAATCCTCAGCAATCTCTCCATGCTCAGCATTTTCCATGCTGTTTAATCTCTGTCACATCCAGCATCTTTCCATGCTGTTTAATCTCTGTCACCCATCTTTCCTCAGCATCTTCCATGTTGTTTAATCTCTGTCACCCATCTTTCCTCAGCATCTTCCATGTTGTTTAATCTCTGTCACCCATCTTTCCTCAGCATCTTCCATGCTGTTTAATCTCTGTCGCACATCTTTCCTCAGCATCTTCCATGCTGTTTAATCTCTGTCACCCATCTTTCCTCAGCATCTTCCATGCTGTTTAATCTCTGTCGCACATCTTTCCTCAGCATCTTCCATGCTGTTTAATCTCTGTCGCACATCTTTCCTCATCTTTCTGTTTAATCTCAGCATCTTCCATGCATGTTTAATCTCTGTCACATCATCTGTTCTCTCAGCATCTTCCATGCTGTTTAATCTCTGTCACCCATCTTTCCTCAGCATCTTCCATGCTGTTTAATCTCTGTCGCACATCTTTCCTCAGCATCTTCCATGCTGTTTAATCTCTGTCACCCATCTTTCCTCAGCATCTTCCATGCTGTTTAATCTCTGTCACCCATCTTTCCTCAGCATCTTCCATGCTGTTTAATCTCTGTCACCCATCTTTCCTCAGCATCTTCCATGCTGTTTAATCTCTGTCGCACATCTTTCCTCAGCATGTTCCATGCTTTTAATCTCTGTCACACATCTTTCTTTCCTCAGCATCTTCCATGCTGTTTAATCTCTGTCACCCATCTTTCCTCAGCATCTTCCATGCTGTTTAATCTCTGTCACCCATCTTTCCTCAGCATCTTCCATGCTGTTTAATCTCTGTCACCACTTTCCTCAGCATCTTCCTGTTTAATCTCTGTCAGCACATCTTTCCTCAGCATCTTCCATGTGTTTAATCTCTGTCACCCATCTTTCCTCAGCATCTTCCATGTTGTTTAATCTCTGTCACCCATCTCTGTCGCACATCTTTCCTCAGCATCTTCCATGTTGTTTAATCTTTCTCAGCATCTTCCATGCTGTTTAATCTCTGTCATCTTTCCTCAGCATCTTCCATGCTGTTTAATCTCTGTCACCCTTTCCTCATCTTTCCTCAGCATCTTCCATGCTGTTTAATCTCTGTCGCACATCTTTCCTCAGCATCTTCCATGCTGTGTTTAATCTCTGTCACCCTCAGCATCTTTGCCTCAGCATCTTCCATGCTGTTTAATCTCTGTCGCACATCTTTCCTCAGCATCTTCCATGCTGTTTAATCTCTCGCACACATCTTTCCTCAGCATCTCAGCTGTTTACTCTGTCGCACATCTTTCCTCAGCATCTTTCCATCAGCATCTTCCATGCTGTTTAATCTCTGTCACCCATCTTTCCAGCATCTTCCATGCAGCATCTTTCCTCAGCATCATGCTGTTTAATCTCTGCATCTTTCCTCATCTTCCATGTTTTAATCTCTGTCTCAGCACATCTTTAATCTTTCCTCATCTTCCATGTTGTTTAATCTCTGTCGCACATCCTCATGTTTTAATCTCTGTCACCCATCTTTCTCAGCATCTTCCATGCTGTTTTAATCTCTGTCGCACATCTTTCCTCAGCATCTTCCATGCTGTTTAATCTCTGTCACATCCACATCTTTCTCAGCATCTTCCATGTTGTTTAATCTCTGTCACCCATCTTTCCTCAGCATCTTCCATGCTGTTTAATCTCTTTCCTCAGCATCTTCCATGCTGTTTAATCTCTGTCATCTTCCTCAGCATCTTCCATGCTGTTTAATCTCTGTCGCACATCTTTCCTCAGCATCTTCCATGTTGTTTAATCTCTGTCACACATCTTTCCTCAGCATCTTCCATGCTGTTTAATCTCTGTCGCACATCTTTCCTCAGCATCTTCCATGCTGTTTAATCTCTGTCACCCATCTTTCCTCAGCATCTTCCATGCTGTTTAATCTCTGTCACCCATCTTTCCTCAGCATCTTCCATGCTGTTTAATCTCTGTCGCACATCTTTCCTCAGCATCTTCCATGCTGTTTAATCTCTGTCACCCATCTTTCTTCAGCATCTTCCATGCTGTTTAATCTCTGTCACCCATCTTTCCTCAGCATCTTCAATGTTGTTTAATCTCTGTCACACATCTTTCCTCAGCATCTTCCATGCTGTTTAATCTCTGTCACACATCTTTCCTCAGCATCTTCCATGCTGTTTAATCTCTGTCACACATCTTTCCTCAGCATCTTCCATGTTGTTTAATCTCTGTCACCCATCTTTCCTCAGCATCTTCCATGCTGTTTAATCTCTGTCGCACATCTTTCCTCAGCATCTTCTATGCTGTTTAATCTCTGTCGCCCATCTTTCCTCAGCATCTTCCATGCTGTTTAATCTCTGTCTCACATCTTTCATCATCACCTTCACATCTTTCATCATCATCTTTCATGCTGTTTAATCCCTGTCACCCATCTTTCATCATCACCTCCCATGCTGTTTAATCCCTGTCACCCATCTTTCATCGTCACCTTCCAGGCTGTTTAATCGCTGTCTCACATTTTTCATTATCATCTTCCATGCTGATAGGCACAAGCAGTAATGTTTGGCCATTTCACATGATTATTGTAGTCTTAGATGAGGTCTGTGTTTCTGTCCATTGCCATACAATCAAGCCATCTAGGTATTAATCTCATTTAAATTTTACAGCACAATTTAATAAACATGGTCATCATCATGAAAAGTTATGAAACCAAAATTGTGATAATAATCTATTATTTTTCTGATAAACCTCCACAACATATGCAAAGCACTGAGAGCACTCACCGATTTGTCTGGGTAATAATCCACCAACTTGTGTGCCAGGTAAAAGAGTTCTGGTAATAACAGAAAATAATAGGTTCAGTTTTATATTAGGAGCATTTATTATTCAAAATGACCTGAGCTTGTCTTCAAGCATGTTTTTTTTTCCCTCCACCATTGCTTTCATTTCTGCATCAACTATTGGTGGCACTAAATCATGGCACTGTCCTGTCAGGGTGATGACCACCACAAAGTACTGCTTGTATTTGTTTGGTATGGGTATCCTCCTTCTTCTTTTTCTTCTTCTTCTTCTTTCGTTCGCTTGAAATAAATTATCCATACCTGCAATGTTGTCTCTAGTATAAACTTCACTGTCTTTTGTAATTCTCTCAGCAACCCGTAAAGTTTGACTTGCACCAATGTTTCTCTTGGCCAAAAGTTTAGTATGGGTCTCCATTCCTCTCCACGGTTTATGTCTTGAAGGGAAATCACACGTTACAAGTACTGACTCTGAACGGCCAAACCAAGACTGGCCTCATTTAAGTCTGTTGCCTTTACATGTATTCAGCTCATCATTTAGTAGGTGTGTAAAGACCTCAGTGATTTTGAGTTAGGCACAGGCTTGGCACATTTCGAGCCTGCTGTTAATATGAAAGATCTAGTAGGTATATCTGCTCTACATGATATGTCTTTGGTGTAGCCAAGTATGATGCGCATTGCTTCATTTTCTACCCTTTCTAGTCTGTCGATTTGTGTCTTGCTGAGGGTGAGGATTGCCAGTACATTTTCTATGACAGAGAGGACTAGACCCTGATAGAGGCTGACTAAAAGCCTTTGTTGACCACATGGAACCAACTGTAAGGTGCTCATTCTATCAATAGCAATGTAAAAAAAAATGTTTAACTAGTTGTTAAATGCTGTTAATATTCACTGAAAATTATCATCCTTCAGTCAACCTAAAAAAATGAAAAAGCAGAAAATATAACTAGAAAATCTTGCAAAATAGAAAGATACACATGGATACAGGTAATTATTTCTCCTAGATTTCATCAATAAAGGAAAAAAATTAAATTGCTTACCAACAACAAAACTGAAATAATACAACCCTTTATAAGCCATCCACGTTTCAGATGTCCCAGATATACCAGCTACATTGATGCTACTGAACAGGCAGACATAGGTAAGATCTGCTGATGAAGAAGGGTGTGAAGTATACAGCACTTCAACTGGGCGAGTGTAATCACGGTGCAAGAAAGTTTCAGGGTATTTAATGAAGTAAATGTACACTACTGTGGACTCTCTTGTCACACAAAAAAACATTGGGACTGGCTCACAGATTTTTAAAAAATCCCTGGTAACAGGCTGCTCACTGGTGCACAGAACAGTGCTGGGGATAACAGACAGGGCTTGCAGAAGCTATGGTGGATGCAGAAGTGATCTGTATAAATGATGGAAGGCCAACTAGAATGGCAATAAGACCCGGTGATGAAGATACAGCTACCAACCTATCTTTTGTTACCCAGTCAGAAGTACTGGACACACAAAATGGATGGTCCTAAGTGATCATGGAAGTGACAATCTGCCATGCTCAGTATTGATTTCTAAACCAAATCTTCTTTGCATTCACCAGCTTTTAATTGCTACAGAAGGTTCTGGTTGTTTGCCAACTTCTGAGCTTTAGTCTTGTTCCAGAACTTGGGTTTTGCGTGCACATTTATTTCAGAGATCTGGCCTATTTGTATGCAGACTGCTGATAAGTAGCCTCTCAGGCATATGCACTCCGACTTCAAAGGAAACACCCCTAACTTGTCAACATGCTTCTTGGAGAAAGGAGAGGAGGGGTCTATTCCCTCCCGCAACGGAGTCACAGAACTACATAGGGACTAAACTAAGCAAGAACAAGGCTATGAGAACATGCAGGACCTTCAAGCTTGAGTCATCCAACACCATTCACGGAAACCTCCAACAAAATGCATGCAACAAAGCCACCAGCTTTACTTTTTGCAGCCTCCATGGTGGACCCCAGAAGTACAACAGGCATGTTGTTACAATGAGAGCTACAGTTAACTACTAAAGACTTCAGTAGATACCCCAAATGTGAAGAAAGCAAAAAGAGATTGGACAGAAAAGGCAGAAGAGTTCAAGCAGTGTGCTGGCTGCAGAAGATCAGAATAGAGTACTTATGGGAATGCCCAGTGCTATTTTGTATGTTCTTTACTCAACTCAATGTTTTAATTAACAACATAAGCAACAGGTTCAGGAAATGACAAATTCAGAAAAGCAGGAGAAATGAAATATGTGTGTGTGTAATAATGAGTAGTGATGACAGCTGAGCTAACGACTTCTAAACCAGGGCTTCTGATTTAAGTTTATTCAGGGGTTACATTTTAAAGACTGGGTTTGTCACAGGCCATTGCCCTGAGTCCCAGCACAGAAAGACCATTAACACAATAAAACTGGCGATGATCCTTGTGCCACTTGCTGGAGTGAAACGAGGGAGGGGGCACAGACCTACTGACCCTTAAGCATGTCATAAAAAGTGACAATCCGGGGTGCTTCCTTCAAAATTGAAGCACATCTGCAAAAGAGACAAAAAACCAAGAGTCCTCAGGCAAATAAGCCATCTGTATAATGGATTTGCATGCAAAATTCAAATTTTGGAAAAAAAACACCGAAGTCCAAAAGTGGACACACAGCCATAACTTTCCCCTGATGTTTACATCCAGTAAACACTAAAAGAATAATGCTTGCAGATACTTGGCAAAAACTGCCTCTCTTTCTCACTGAGAATCTTATTTCAATTTATTATGCACAATAAATGATAAATAACTGTAATAGTAATGGTGATAAAAATTTAAAAACTCACCATTAGAATTTTTTCAGTTCTACAAGTACAGCTATATGGATGGGCAGACACTGCCTGTTGTAAGGATCCATATCTAAAATCCTGGGAGAAAACACAGCTGTATCAAAATATACTAAAACCCTTTAAACAAAATGTCACATTAATAATGAAAGGTCCCACGAAACAAAAAATATGCATGTTCCGAGAGTCACTGTGGTGTAGCGGCTAGATGCTCACCTGCGGTTCGGAAGGTCGTAGGTTCAGGTCCTGATGGAGCCAGACTTTTGTTCAAAAACGAACTTGGCTCCTAGGCTGAACCAGCCTTGAGTGGGTATCAGGTGCAGTCATATAAAGTAAAGGCAGCTGGTGGATGCTGACTACATCTCCTACCAAGTGCCGATTATACAGGTCTGGCCCTATATGCCCAATACGCATGAAGCCGTGGAAAAGGGTCCTTCATTTTACTTACATGTGGGTTCCAAGGCTCTATTCAAGAGAATAAAGAATAGACCCATTGCCCCTTGCCTTTTCTGCATGTAACAGGAGGCGACTAATTAGGGATGTTTCCTTCAAAGTCACAGTATATCTGCCTAACAAGCAAGCAACCAACGGTCTGAATATGAAAAAAAAACAGATACAGATGTGCACACAAAACTGAAGATCAAGATCAAAGTCCAGGATTCAATATACAACCAAATCCTTCTAAATGAGTTTACAGCCGGTGAATATTAGAGGAGTGAGATAATATCTTAAGCATGTTGTCTGTAAGGTTTTGGCATCTGCTAAGACATGTTCTGACCAACACTATTTTTTCAACATTATGTCATATTAGAACATTTTCTGAAGTTCAGTAAAAAATATCCTACACCCATTTTACTATTGTCCTAAGAGACAAAATAATGGGAAAATGACTGCTGAAGCTGGAGACTAAACTGCTGGGCTAGCAGCAAACATATGCATTAACCACTATACTGCTTCAGATTAGGTTCCACTGAAAACAAATGTTTACTTTGGGGTAGGGGGTCCATTTTCTGCTTTGTGTTGCAGGGCGTCAAAGGTTAACACATGATCTGTTTCAGAACTAGGGCACACTCGGCTGCCTGGTATGCTGTGATGTTGTGGGGTCTCAGGCTATCAGTGATTCCTTCAATATATTATCTTGTTGATCATCCCCTACCACCTGGTGTTTCTACTTTCATGTTTTTGTGCTCTTATTGCAGGCATCATATGATTTATTCTCATTAAATGGTAAAACAATTTCAGTCTTAGTTTTTCAGTGAATTTAATTATAGGTTTTGTTCCAATAGTTCTGTAGTTTCTTTGTTTCTCACACAATCTCTTCTAGTTTTGTTCACAGCCTTTTCAAACATCTCATTTCGCAGGAGGTTAGTTTTCTTTCATGTTCTTTGATCAATCTCAAACTCTGACACTAACAGCCCAAGGCTTATGAAGACTGCATTTATAATTTGTCTTTTTATCTCTTTTTGGGATAGCCGAGTGTTTTAATATTGGTGTCAGCTGGTATGTGATTGTAATGTGAATTCCCGGGGAAATCCCAGAGATCTCCCGATGGGGAGGACAAGGTCAGAGGACCAGTGATACAAGAGTAGAGAAAAATGAGATAAGTGGGTCTCGAGTATCCCATGGTGAGCGAAATAAGGGATACAAGAAAAGCATGAGACTGGAATGGAAGACGTGAACTGAGAGACGGTAGTAAGACAGTTGAAGTTCGGACCTAGTTGCGAGAGGTCATATGAGAGAGAACGCCTGAAGAGAATGGAGGAATTGTGAACACTAATAATTGTTCGAGAGAAGATATGAATGTTTCCTGATTGCCAGTTTCAACATGTACTAATACCCCTGCCTTATGCTTTAGTAGGAGATAGATGTGTGATTTGAGAGATACTGATGGATCAAAGCAGTGTGCGAGAGAATTGACCAGGCTGTCAGAAATCAGCCAGGCATAACGAACACGAGAACGGAAGAATGCGTTGTCAATGATATGTTTGATTCCGCGAATAAAGGTCTATAACTGAACGTTCGATTCTGGTGTGTCATAGCAACTAAGTGTTTGTCAATACAGCAATGTGGCATGTATAAACAAACCCCTAGCAGAGCACTTTACAGTGATATTGTTGGATTCTTGTTTCAATCTCTGTCTATTCTGCTATCACATATAAAGATGCTCACCAAGTATTCAAAAGGCTGAACCTGTTTAAAACTTTGATCTTTTATCTTTATGTCGATTGTTTGATGTGTGTAGTTTATGTGGTACTGTAGCCGATTAACTTGACTGTGGAATGGGCATTGGTTTTCAGCCAACAGGAGTTAGTTGAAATAAACCTGTTCATCCCCAGCTAGTTATATTTTTACTTCTTCTTCTTCTTCTTCACTCCCTCTTTTACCGCTGGGTGTCAAGGGAGTCCTGCTTCGTGCTCTCCTGGCTGCTTTGACCATTGATACATTGGGGTGCCATACAGTTTCTGATGTGTATCTTCCTATATTGTTCTTGGTCTGCCTCTTGCTCTACGTCCTTCTCCTCTTTTGGTATATGCCTTTTATGGTATAGCATCAGAAGGCATTTTCTCCAAATTGGCAAACCATTTGATTGGCTGTCATTATTACATGTAATTTAGAGCTGGATGTCTTCTGACTTTATCTCGTATGACCTCATTCCTGATTTTATATCTCTTCTAATCACTCCTACAGTCTTTCTCAGACACCTCATTTACATAATTACTAATTTTCTTTGATGTTTTGTTGTGAGTGACAACATCTGGCACTCACAGCATAGGGGGAAATCAATATGCTTTGTATCTTTGTGTTGATTGGGATTACCTTATGCTGTAAGAGGGGGCTAGCTGTCACAGTAATTGGCCTACTTTACTGCACCAGATGTTAATTTCTTCATTCAATTTACAATCTTCAGTGAATGTTGTTCCCAGATATTATATGACAGAAAGGATCAAACTCTGACAGAGGATGACTAAAAGCCTTTATTGATCACACATGGCAGCCATAACTCGCACTGCAGGCAAACCCTTTCTGACCCTGTTGATCATAGTATTAACTTGGAATCTGCAGCTAAGGCTTCGATCAAAACTCACTCCCACGTATTTTTAAAGTTCAGTCCTTGCTATCTCTTCACCATTCATATGCACAAAGGGGGTTATTGTGTGTACTATGTGACTGCTCAAAGAAAGCCAAGCTGCAGTACTTTGGCAGGGTTAATCTGTGAACTGGAGGTTTGACACCAACCTGCTATGCATCCCAGTGCCTTCTGGGGTTCTTCTACAACACTACCCCAGTTATTGATGTCGCATGCCTGCACTGCCAGATGTGGGAGGAGGCCTCAGGTCAAAAGAACAAGACATCCTGGACAGTTATGTGGGATCACCAGTGCTTGCGGTTAACTCTGACATTCAGTGCCAGTTCCCTAGGTCCAAAATTCCACAGGTGGCAGTGATGAATATTGAATATGGCTGTGGCTAGGGACTAACCAAGAGTCCATCTGTAGTATATTCTTTGCTTCCTTTGCTGGTTTGATTGATCTTGCTGAATACTATTCTCTATATGCCTTCATCTCTTTTAGTTGTGCCCCAAGTTTCAGAGCCATATAAAACGACTGGTCTTATCAACGTTTTTATATATTTTTATCTTGGTGTTGCCAGACAGACACTTTGATTTTAGCAGATGTTGAAGGGCACAGTATACTCTATATCCAGATTGTATTCTAGATTGTTTTTCTTCTCTCAGCATGTTGGAGCAGTTGAAGTTTGCACCCAAGTACTTATATGTTTCTGTTCGTTTGATTGTCATATTATTGACATGTATGTGGCAGGAGTTTATATCCTTTCCCAGTCATGTTATTATCATGTATTCTGTCTTATCTTGATTGACAACTACTCCTATTTTGTGAGCTGCTTCTTTTAAGAGAGTCAAGAGTCTTGCTCATTTCCTCCAACAATTTCAATGTTATCTGCATAACCGAGTATTCTTGTAGTTTCTCCTATAGTACACTCCTGTTTCAATTTCCTTATAATTTTCTCCAGGGACAAGTTAAAAAGAAGTGGGGACAGAGCATCGCCTGACTTGAAACCAGATGTTATTTGAAAAGTGCCAGACTTTCTGCATACTGACTTGCATACTGGTAATTCAGTAGCTGCTTACATAAGATAGTGCTTTGTCAAGTCATTCACAAGTCTATGGGAAAATGACTAAACACGTCCATAGCAGTAAAAGGGTTAGTGAGTTTTAAATATTTCCATTGTCATTTAATTTTCTCTAGGGATATTTTTCTTTTGAACTGTTCATTTCTACATGTATAATTGTATCTGGCAGTGTTGAAACAAATTTGTTACAATCAACCAGGTGTCATCAAAGCAAAATTTAACAAGACAGTCTACAATTTTGTTAGGCTTTACAATACTGAATTTACCAGTGGTGTAGTGATTTCAATCAAAGGCATGAGAAGGCCACTGTGATGTGTATAAAGAGTTACTCTGTAACTTACCTCAGGTGCTAGCCGGCTCTGGGCTGGTTTTATGGATCCTCAAGTAAAAATCCTGCTACACTGCCGATGTAGTCCAGTCTAGCTCTAATGAGCCCACCCCCACTGCATTGGTGACACTGACTTTCAAAACTCATTTGGAACATGGATAAAGTCCACTAGCCGAACATACTACTAAATGACAACCCTCGGTTGAAACGTCCGTCAAGTGGAAAAACTACTGACTGCTGAGATTGAGCCGTAAAACAACAAATCTGCTCACAGCCTAGATGGGCAACATCGCCTGCGGGTGATAACTCGCAGAACAACCCTGTCTCCACATATCCCTTGATGTCCCTCAATGACGTCATTGCGCTGAGGTACACAATGACCTTCTGCCACTGTCAGTGAGCTGATTTGGCACAAATATCTGTCAGACACATGTGCTATAGCACAGCAAGTCCTACCGAAAAAAAATCCCACTATTTGGTTTACATGTCCGCTACCACTGGTCCCATTCTCCAGCCTTGCCAGATGCATGCTGTCTTGCTAAGCTTCTAGATGATACAATGTTAGAGGCTCTGTCCCCACCTTTAGCAGCAAGCGAAGAGTTCCAATTCAATGGTACCAACAACTGTCTGATTGTATATTCGTCTCGCATTTCCTTGAGTGTTGAGCGTAGGCCAGATCCCCCAGTTGCTCCCCGCAGCGCCATTCTCCTCAGATTATAAGGATCTATTTGTGCCTCTGAACTGTTCACTCGCTCCCAAAAGGCTCTCACAACATCTAGCTTGTCATACATCAATTCACCATCAAGTGGTGCAGAACCAGCCAGTCTATCTACCTATTCATTTTTCAACACACTGGCATAATCTGGAGAAAATATCCAAAGTATGCTAACTACCCAGGACCTCTGAAGTGAGCCTTGCCACACTGCATAGAGCTTGCCTATCTAACCCCTTTTTCAACATGCTCTATGAGTCAGTTACAATCACAGCATGTGTGTACAGCTGATTCTCAAGCCAGTGGAAGGCAGCAGTTACTGCCTCCACCTCCATTCTCAAACTCGAAGTTGTGATATCATATGCGAGACTTTGTTGCACTAAGCGACATCTATTTTCCTTTGCTATGAACCCCCGTGTACTTTGTCTGCCCCCAAGTATAGAGCCATCTGTATAGATAATCACATCACTGGGCAGGAATTGTCATGAATCATTTGCTAAACTTCTTATTCTGCAGCACCAGCTGGCCAGCCGCTGCACTCACAAACTAGAGTGATAAGAACATGGATAGTAAGCCAAGGTCAAAGCCATGTGTCGGTATGCATTTATGGAAGCCTCATGGGTGATGCCCCTGCTTTCCCTTGAGAGCCGACCAGTCTACATGTAGATACCCAGAACGGCTCTCCAGGGGCAACACTTCCAGATAATGGGACAAAGAGAACACCACACAAATAAGGTTAAGCCATGTCCTTAAAAACTATCCGGGAAGTTAAACCAGGCAACACAAGTCAGATGTTCCGGCCAAAAGTTACCAATATTGCAGTTCTGCTGCAAACAGGACCAACACATTTACGTTCAGACGAACCAAAAAAAAAAAAAAAAAAATTTTACCAATCTGCCATTGCCACAATTAGCATCGTGGCGTCCGTGGCTTAGGCGTTGCGAGTCCGACTCGTAATTCCACGTACCGCGATCGAAACCCACTTCTGGCTGTGTGAATTGTTATCGTGGTATGGGGCATCGCAGGTCGACCCAGCCTAAAATGGGTACCAGGATGGCTGTCCTGGGGAAGTAGAGACGGCCGGCGTAATGCTGACCACTTTACCCACCTAGTGCCGATGGTCTTAAAAAAATATGGACGCTATTCCCATATACCCGATGCGCCTAAAGGTGTGAGAAGGGATCTTTACTTACTTATTTTTTACAATTAGCATCCTCTTCATTGACAATTAGTACTTATTAATTAAACTGTGCATAGTAACTGGCTATAATGCTATGACTCACCTGGATGTGATCTTGTAAGCTGTTCTGAAGTTACAATTGTACAAATGTCTCTCAGCTTTGCTTACAACCACATCCATATTATCACACAAGGGAGCTAATGGCGCTGGTATTTCAACTTTTCCTGGGCAATCATACTGCTCAATACAAAATAAAACATGAGAATGAAACAATTATGGAGATTATTACAATTAAACATAAATATGACACAGATAAAAGCTGCGATCACAAGGGGTGCGACCTTGGCAGCAAGAAGTAAATGTCGCCTCGTTGCACGCTGTGTGGCGATGGTAGTCACAGGGTTAACTGTGAGTGACACAGTGGCATATTTTTACACCAGCCAAGGTTTAGCTCAACACATCATCCATGATGTGCTGCAGTAAAGCAAAGTACTTGCAAGATGAGCGCCACAGCAGCCTACTCCAGAACTAAAACATCTGCACCATGATGCTTGTCAAGAACTTCTGTGATGATGTGATACTTTCTCATTTAATTATGGGCGTCTGGAATTTGGCTGCAATTCTTTGCAAGATATTTCACTAACCTTTAGTCTTTAAAAAAAAAAATTTATTAGTAATATACCTCTAATCTCCAAAGCAGAAATTAGATACGAGAGAAATATATTATGGATGACTGGAATTTGGTGCTTTGTAAGACATCTCACCAGCCCTTAGAAAACAAGACATTTTGTTCAAATATGCCAAAGTTAGGGGGGGGGGGGGGGCCTCTCAAAGGCCAACCCCACGTCCTCGTCGTGAGAGGTGGTAACAGGACAAAGTAGGGGATTGCTAGGTGTGGGCGAAGTATGGTGTGGCCTCGTGCCACGGGACCGCTACGGTAGCCATGAAGGCCACCCTGGGTCACCCCGAAACGTCCTGGCCAACGGGGCTCTGGTGAAGTTGCGACAGGCCTAGCAAGCCGGCAATGGATGTATTACCGCTACAGAAATCAAAATGAGATATAAACGGACTGATCAAACGGTATCTGACCATGGCAATGTTAAGGGACTACGAGACAGAACAGCGAAATACAAGATTGCAACACTTAACACCGCTGGCCTAGGAAATAAAACAGAAGAGATTATTGAAATGATGGAAAAAAGGAAAATCAAGTTAATGGGGCTAGCTGACATAAGACACAAGGGAAATATTAATAAGAAAATACACAGAGGCTACTTACTAACATATGCAGGAGGAGAAACATCGAAGAATGGAGTGGGTTTCCTGGTACATCCGGACATATCTAACTACATATTAGACATACATTATCACTCAGATAGAATTATTACTTTGAAAATTAAAAGAGGAGAACAAGCTGAAACATATATACAGATATATGCACCATGCAATGATAATTATACAGAAGAGCAGAAAGATGAATTCTTTGACGATCTGTCTGATGAGATAAAGAAAGTTGAGGGAAGCAGCATACTATATGTAATGGGTGACTTCAACAGGAGGGTAGGAAATAACAGAAGAGAATACGAACAGTTTTTAGGTCCATATGCAGCTAAGAACAGTGCTAGAAATGGAAATGGTCAAAGAATATTGGATTTATGCAGCCAGCACAATCTTTTTATTACGAACACGTTCTTTGACCATAGAGATTCACAACTTTACACTTGGTACAAATGGAATGATGTCTCCATCAAGAGCCAGATTGACTTTATACTTACCAGAGTTCAAGGAAGAAGGAGAATTCTTGATTCAAGAGCAATCCCTCATGGTCTATGTGACACTGACCATAAAATAGTTGTGTTAACAGCAAAACATCTTACATTAAAGAAACACAGAAAGAAATTAAACAAAAACAAGGATCTCATCAAGATAGCAAATCTGAAACAGGAAGGAGTAAAAGAACAGTTACAACAGAAAGCAGAGACAGCATTCAAACAACTTCCACATGTAGTTGGCAATATTGAGGAAGAATGGAGTATATATAAAAACACTATGCTTAGTATTGCAGAAGAATTATGTGGAAAACGGAAGAGTGGAAACAGACGGGGAAATAACAAATATTCACCTTGGTGGTGCGAAGAAGTAAAAGAAGCAATTAAAAAGAAAAAAGACATATAAACAGTGGATAAAATCAAAGAAAGAAGAAGATTATATAAACTATAGACTGCAAAGGAGAGAAACCAACAGGAGTGTCAAGAAAGCAAAACAAGCATCCTGGGAACGTTTCGGTGAGTCACTAGCAGAAAATGAGAAAACAGTCAGCAGAAAATTTTTCAAAGTAGTTAAAAATATGCGGAAAAGAGATGAGAGCTACAACCCCACTGAAATAATAAATGATAAGACAGGAAGGCCATTGATAGATCCACCTGAGATAGCAGAAAGATGGAGGGAATACTTCAATGAGCTCTTTAATCCTCTAGGAGATCATCAGGAAAGAACAACTGAAGAGCACAGAGCAACAGTGTTAGAACCACACATACTAATGGATGAAATAGAAAAAGTCATTAAACAGTCTCCCAAATATAAAGCACCAGGAGCTGATAGATTACCAACAGAAATAATTCAAGCAGCAGGTGAAAGCAGCATGAGATGGCTTCACAGAATATTCAATGCAGCATGGGTACAACAAACGGCCCCTATTGATTGGCAACATGCAATAGTTATACCATTGTGGAAGAACAAAGGAAACAAACAAGAATGCGGTCAATATCGAGGCATCTCTCTTTTAAGCCATGTTGGCAAAATGTATGCCAAGATAATAGAAACAAGACTGAGACCAGTGATAGAACCACAGCTGGCAGAAGAACAGATGGGATTTAGGAGAAATAGAAGCTGCACAGATGCAATCTTCACACTTAAACAGTTAATAGAAAAGAACATTGAATACAAAAAGAACTTATTTGTGACATTCGTAGACCAGAAGGCATTTGACAGAGTCGACAGACAATTATTATGGAAAATAATGGCAAGATATGGAGTAAGCGAACACCTCATCGAAGTGTGCAAAAGTTTATACAGGGATTGTAGAAGTGTAGTTAGAATAAATCAGAGAACATCTCATCCTTTCACAGTGACATCTGGAGTAAGACAGGAGTGTGTCTTATCACCACTGTTGTTTATCACCTACATCGACAGTATATGCAAGAATGCCAAGCCCATGAATGAAGATCTTAGTAAGATAAACGAATTACTCTTTGCAGATGACCAGGCCTTGATAGCAGATACAGCCATGAAATTGCAACATCTAACATCCATGAATAAAGAATGTAAAACAAATAATATGAGAATCAACACTGAAAAGACAGAAGTAATGTCAATAGGAAAAAAGAAGACAGATCTAAACATAGCAATAGAATACAAAGGCATTAAACAGGCATCTGAGTTTAAATATCTGGGAACTACATTTACCGAAGATGGGAAATTGGATAAAGAAATTGACATTAGATGCAGTAAAGCAAACCAAGTATTGGGACAGCTAGCCCCCCTCTTACAGCATAAGACAATCCCAATCAGCACAAAGAGACATCTTATTCAAAGCATATTTATTCCAACTCTGTGCTACCAGTGCCAGACATGGTCACTCACAACAAACCATAAAAGAAAATTAGTAACCACAGAAATGAGATGTCTGAGAAGGGCTGTAGGAGTGACCATAAGAGATAAGATCAGGAATGAGATCATAAGAGAACAAGTCGGCACAGAACCAATTCTGGATTACATACAAAGACAGCAAGTGAAATGGTTTGCCCACTTAAAGAGAATGCCTTGTGACACCATACCATACAAAGCATACATGGAAAGAGAAGAAGGACGTAGAGCACGGGGTAGACCAAGAACAAGATGGAAGGATAACATCAGAGAAACTCTACAACAGCACGATGTGCCTATGGTCGAGGCAGCCAGAAGAGCTAGAAACAGAACCTTATATCTCCCTCGACACCCACAGCGGTAAAAGAGGAAGTGAAGAAAAAGAAGAAGAAGAAGGGGGAGAGGGGGGTGTGTGTGTCCAGTAATATATCTCTAAAAACCAAAGTAGAAATAGAAAGACTATGGGAGCATTTTTAGTATATAAAACATATTCATTACCTAATACTATGCCAGGTCTAGAGATATCCTCTTTCACAGCCTTAATTATTTTAGATACATCCATTAAAGGTAATAAAAAAAACATGTCACACCTTTTTCATTCTGCTTTCATACAAGGATCTAACCAAATCTGCTTCCCCAGGGGAGCACTGTGAACTCAGAGGCAGAGAGTTGATCAAATCTTTTTCTGGAAAAGAGAAAATAGAACAAACTTCAGTCAATTGATAATTAATAACTGTTGATAAATGAAATGAAAAACCTTTCCACATGCTAAAGTTGAAAGGGTGTTGAGCCAAGACCGGCTCCAGCTGACGGGCCATGCTGCTGACGTCATGAAACTGGGCTAACGTTACGTTAATGCAGCATGTCTCAAACTTTTTCGTGATAGATGGATAGATGGGTGGATGAATGTATGTTTATTTAAATGTTAGAATTTGCCATCCATGATCGTGTGGTGCTACTGTATATTCATATTATGTATTTTGCTATGAACACTGTATGGGTTATAGATAAATACAACTGCTATGTGAAAAAATTAGCATTTAGAAGGACTGAGTGTAAGACTGGACAGATTTATGACCCTCTGAAAACAAAGTTGCTCGTTCACTCGTTCTCTTGTCTATGTTAAAGTTAATCCTTAAGCCTATCCTTTTCCAGGACACTGCAGAACCAACCCTAACATTTTTTGGCTGTTGTGGTTTCTCTTGACAAATTAATGTCTAGCAGTCTGCCATTGCTTCTGAATGGCCGACTCTTGATACCACTATCATTACCAAATATGACGGTCAGCTGACAAATTGTCTGCAGCTGGGATCGAACCCGGCACCCCAGCATTATGAAGTGTGTTCACAACACCAAAGCCAGAGATGCTGACAAGTTGTCTATGAGCTGTATGAATTTTCCAATATTCTCATGTTTTTAATATTTAGAGTAATCTCCAGCAGACAGCCTTAGTTATGTGCAAATTTATGGCAGCTGTTTTTTATCTGGAAATACTTTACATCTTGTTCCAACAATCTGAGCTATACTGCTTTTATTCTTCCAATATGTCACCTAATTTGTGTAAAATCTTTACTCCACCATGTGACATTTTAGCCTTTCATGGAATAGGGTTTGTAAAATGTAATCTAAATCTCTATCTTTAATGAATGTATGAAAGTGGCTACCTTTGGATAATTTTACCTGATCTGTGACTAAATAAGGATTCTAATAATTCCTACAGGTTTTTCTGGCTTCTTTTGTAATCCATAAAACAAGGCATAAACAAACCTATAATTCTCACATATTCATACCATGTAAAACATGACATACCTTCTTGAGCTGTGAGCATATGATGGTTAATCAACAACTCCAGTGCTTCAAAACAGTACACATCCAAGCGCAGTGCCTCCCTGTAGCAGTCTGATGCTAAGCTGCGGTTGTCCATAGCTTCATAGATTTTGCCCCGCAACAAGCATATTGAATTTCCATACTGCAAACAAGTTTAATGTATCTCATAAGTGGTAAGCTCTCAAATTTCTGAGCATGTATGTATGATGTGAAGTAGTAGTCGAGCTTTCAACTTCACTGCAACCAGGTCACCAAATAAATGCTCTGCTCCTGTGTCAGTGAAAATCAAATGAAATGTCCCTCACTGTCCCATCTGAAAAACTAGTGAACAAACAATCAGACCCGGCACAATATCAAATATGCGCATGCTAGAAGCCCCAAAGCTAACAGTCGCCATCAGAAATACAGTCTGTCGCTGACAGAAGTAGTCTGTCAAAATCAGTCAGCCATACACACGCAAAACTATTACATAAGGTATTTTGCTAGCCCAGAAGTAAACCGGTTACCTGCCATACTGAAGACCTCGACACATACTAAACAAACGAAAGGCATTCCACATGCAAATACACAGCTAACAGTGCTGCACTTAGTAGCTTAGGCAGCAAAACCGTACACTTCCATCCATATGTGGAAACAGCATTAGCAAAGCACTGTCTGGAGCAAAAATAAACCTGAAGTTAAAAAAATTTCCCATTGGAGCAGAAGTCTGAATGATGTGTATGTATAAATATACATGTGAAAAGAAAAGAAATTAATGTGTTGCACAGAAGTAAAACCTATAAAATTAATAATTTAATTGGCCTAGGCACTGTATAATTGTAATGTCAACAAACAATGATCAGCTTACATGCCCTTCAGCATCGTGCAAAAGAGAATTCTATGCACTGTGCTCAAGACACAGCAACGGACTCTTTAACTATATAATGTGATTCACAATATAAATATAAATATTTCTGCTAGTAATTGACTATGAACTACCGTGCCCGCGTAACGATATATGATGTATTTTGCTATCCGCACCTGTTTTGAGTATTAGCTTAAAAACATCAGAGTGTATGTATAAAGTAATAATCAAATCTACACTATTTGTCTTCAGGAACTTGATACTTTTCACATGGCCATACAGTATTTGCCAACAGCGCTGAAAACTCATTCTTTGTCAATCTCTCTCCAGCTGCATGGTCACACTGTAATTACATCCTTTGCATTCCTTTGCCCACAGTGCTAATCAGTGATATTTCAATTACTGTAGTTATCTTACGCTCATTATTGTTTACTGACATATTTGGTCCATTCAAAGAAAAACCACAAACAATATGATCTTCACAGATATGTATGTGTTTATAAAATATACATGTGAAAAGAAAAGAAATTAATGTGTTGCACAGAAGTAAAACCTATAAAATTAATAATTTAATTGGCCTAGGCAAAATTTTGACTTAAAATATTTTCAGGATCTTCGCTGGTGCTAGGAAGTTCTTGCACTGTGGTGAGATTCATCGGACTCAGGCTTGAGTTTGAAGTAGAAAGGGCAGGTGCCATGGGGTTACTACCGCAATTTATCAAGATGATGTGATCGCTCTGTTATTTGATTATTTTAAACATGCTTCTATTATGTCTCACATCTTTAAACTCAACTGAATTTTTTTCAATCTATTTGCCAACAACTTTAGTCTCATTTTTGTCACTGTTCTCAAGCTACGCATGTATGCGATACATCCTTGGTTTGCTCACTGTTGTAGGCGAAGTCATTTCTCAAGGTAGCTGCAGGCACAGATCACCCTTTGCACAAAGCTCTGGGCACAGTTAGGGTCAGAGGCTGATAAGAGAGAAGTCATGGATGGCTCAGGCAGAAGACACAATCAGACAAGTTTGCATCCTTGGGAACATTAGGCGAGAAGAGAAGTGGGTCAAAGTGCCACCTGAACAGTCAGACTTGTGTAGGGTCATAATCACACCCGAGCCGGGAATGCAGACTGGCCGGCAGGCGCCACGGAGGTGGAAATTCTGCAATTTATTCAAGATAATGCTCGCTCAGAGGATTTGATTAATTACACAGACGGTTGATTCAGTGTCAAGAGGCAAAAGAAGTGCTTGGGGTTTCTTAGCAAAAGTTAATGGTCGACGTTTGGTGCAGGAGAGCCTAGCATATGATACCACAACATTCAGCTTAAGAATGGAGGTGGAGGTGGTCACTGCAGCTTTCCACTGGTTAGAGAATAAGACACACACACACACATCGTGATTGTAACTGACTCAGAAAGCATGCTGAGGGAAGTCAGGACAGGTATGCTTCAGGCAGAGTGGCATGCTTCAGGCAGAGTGGCATGCTTCACTGCGGAGGACACGGGTGAGGAGTATTGTCTGGATTTTTTCTCCGGGACCGGTGTGTTGAGGAATGAACAGGCGGACAAACTGGCTGTCTCTGCACAACTTGGTGGAATACTGATGCATGATAAGGCAGACGTGGCTAGTGCCTTATGGAAGAGTCTGTACAGGGGGAGTGACGAAAGGTTCTGGCAGATGCTCGAGGCTCAAAGGAAAGGCAAGACGGACGTTTAATCAGAATCCTACTGGCACGATTAGTATCAGAAATCTTCACTGGCTACTGAAGATGGGGACAGAGCGCTTATGGGAATGTCCCAAGTGGTGATGTCAGTTTTTAATCAACTCAACTCAAGCTATGCAAATATAAGAGTAATTCTGCAATGTTCTTTTTTTCTCCACACAGCACCAACACACATTTTTTTAATTCAATTTTCTGTCTAGATAAACTGTATACATATTTTAAGCACTATTAGCATTAGCTAAGATTTTTGGTGCTGGAAGTACCAATTTAAAGACTTCATTTTTAGATGATTGTATAATGGTAGTAAGATGTAGATAGATAAGTAGATTAGTTGAAAAAAAGCATTTTTTTTTTTTACACCATAGGCACATAAGGCATATGGTATAAAACTCATCTTTTATAGATCAATCGACATTCTATTGCTGATATGGTCAACATCCGAGGAGCCTAGATCTATTCTGCAAATATGCAGTAAGAGGACAAGTTCCAGCATAATTAAGTGAGCTGACCAGCTCCGTTTTTAAATACTCAAAATTATATGTGAATAAATAGTTAGTGATACAAAGCGCTGAGTTTAGCAAAACCATAAAAGTTGCAATAAAGGCTATGCAACTAGGATCTCTAAAGATATTTATATTAATAACTTCTACAGAAAAAAATGTAGGCGTATTTTTCATATAGTGCCATATCAAGTGGCCTTGTCTCCTAAGCTTGACATGTATATTATTCTAGGTCCTTTGCAGAGAGCTTGTATTTTACATAATTTTCACTTTCCCAAGACATAACCAATGTTTATTTTAGTCATACCTCATCAGTGAACAGCAGCTCCACTTCAGAATGTTGCTGTAGTATTTCTCTAGCCAATTCTCCAGTATTATGTGCCTTTACAGCCAATGCAACTTCAGAGTCTTGTATCCACATCTTCAGAGGTGGGCCTCTGTCTCACTTTTCAGGAAACTGTACGCTTTATCACTGTGGGTTTTTTCCAGGCCACCATATTAACATGGCCAAAATTCTTCAGGTTTTGGGCTGTCTATCAGGCAGCTCTCCTTAATGTTTAAATCATATAGGATGTCAATTCTTTTCTTCTTTTTGGTCCATGGCATTATAAGATTTGAGAGAGAGAGAGAGAGAGAGGGGGAGGAGAGAGGGGGAAGTGAGAGAGAGAGAGAGACTGACAGAGAGAGAGGAGGGGGTGAGATGTATATTCACATACACAAATATATCTGTATGCATGTGGTGCATGTTCATGCTTGTTTGAAAAGGTCACCAGGCAAATAAAGTAAAGTAACACCAAGCAAAGTAAAGTAAAGTACACATAAAAATGACCTTTTTTGTGCCATTGTTTGTGATTAAGTCGCAACAAACATAACTGTACTGTTCTCTGTTGTTCTGTTTTTGTGCCATAGTTCAAAGTACCTTTCTGTGTCAAAAGCAAGAAACAGAAAGAAAAGAAACACATATCCATGTCCTAGATAAAGATACTTACATTTTTAATAGGAAAATTAGCATCCAATTCTTGTAAAGATTCATTGAGGCTGCTATTAGTAACTGAAGGTATACTAGAAAAAGACATATCTGCCATCTCCAAAATGTTCAGAGCCTCCTGCCACTCTTTGCATTCATACTGAGGAATAAATGGTGAGGCACTGTATAATCTGTAATGTCAACAAACAATGATCAGCTTACATGCCCTTCAGCATCGGACAAAAGAGAAGGGGCATCTATGAACTTGTTCAAGACACAGCAACATTAATTCTTTAACTATATAATGTGATTCACAATATAAATATAAATATTTCGGCTAGTAATTGACTATGAACTACCGTGCCCGCGTAACGATATATAATTTATTTTGCTACACAAGCACCTGGTTTGAGTATTAGCTTAAAAAAAAATCAGAGTGTATGTATAAAGTAATAATGAAATCTACACTATTTGTCTTCAGGAACTTGATACTTTTACACATGGCCATACAGTAGTTGGAAACAGCGCTGAAACTCTTTCTTTGAAATCTCTCCCAGCTGCATGGTCACACTGTAATTACATCCTTTGCATTCCTTTGCCCTTTCAGTGCTAATCAGTGATATTTCAATTACTGTAGTTATCTTACGCTCATTATTGTTTACTGACATATTTGGTCCATTCAAAGAAAAACCACAAACAATATGATCTTCACAGATATGTATGTGTTTATAAAAACAAATGTAAACCAGTAATTTCCATATTCCAATAATACCATATTCTTTATGAAGTAAGATCACTGATCCTCAGAGAAATTTTCAAAGCAAAAAAGGAATTTAATCAATAAAGGATGTGATGTTTTTAATTTCAACGTTGCTAAGTGCAAAACAGATCCACTATTTTTTTTTTTTTTTTTGGGGGAGAATTTCAGTTTGGCTCAAGAGAAATGTGATGACATCAGCAGTGCATGATGCTTTAAAAATATTCCAACCATGTTATAAACTATCATTTTCAGGAAGAAATCACTGACACACTGAGTCAAATTCTCCAAAAACTGTTTGGACCTGCTTCATACAATATTCTCAATGTTAAGATACTTTGATGCCAATAACTGCTATAGGACTGTGTCTAACTATGACATTATTTGTTCAATAAACTTCTCAGAGATTTTCAATGTCTTCTGTTTTGAAACAACACCCTCAGAAACATGTGTACATATGCACAAACAAACAAGCAAGCAAACGAGTGTGCGTGCGCACATGCGCACACACACACACAACCCCAACTGACTGTGAGTGACACTGCGGCACATCATTTAGTCAAGGTTCAGGACACATCATCCACGATGTTCTACAGTACAGCAAAGTGGGTGGGTGCCATGGCAGCCTACTCCAGAATTGAAACATGGGCACACTGATGCTAGTCAAAACTTCTGCAGTGGTTTGAAAACTGCACACAGTGATAAACCCACTTTCCTTTTACTTCCAACAAAGTTCAATACTAATGACAATAAAGACTGAATATCAAATGAAATTGTTTGTGTAAATCTATTTTATGCTCTTGAAAGATGTTTGATTTCATTTAGATAATATTGTACTCACACTACACATGCATGCGCACGCACCTGCGCACACATGATATTTTTTTATACCACAATATCTTATTTTATATCAATGTGAAACATATTTCAAAGAATCAAGACTTACGTAACATTTGGCAGTCAAATAGCGGCAGGCACTGTATGTCTAGAACAAAAAAACATAAACCAAGCAAAATAGTTATTAATTTGTCTGTGGAAGGTATGCTTATAGAAGCTGAATTGTGTAGTATTTATGTGACAAGCTGTGTGCTGTGTACAGTATATACGGGCATACCCAAACAGCAAAACAGGTTGTGTATGTGTGTGGGGGTGTATATGCCTAGCAACACACATTTTGTTTCTATTTTGTTATTTCTGAACAACGTCAGCTGCAAGGTAGCTCTTATCAGATAATTAATGATGAATCCACGCAGATGTGTCTCCATCATGAAGTGGTGGAAGGGTTTGTGTGTTTCAATAACCCCAAAAACTATGGTAATGGTAGCTGAGCTTTTAGTAAGGTCCCCCACACTGGAAATGTCAACTGATGAGAACCAGACAATAAAAAGAGATACAAGCCTCTTGCCTTGTAGGTAAAGTAAAGCAAACAAAAGCTAGGAAATGTGAATGAATGACACAAGCTGGCATAGTAATAAAAAATGGCCACCACATTTTTGGCATGTCCTAAAGAGGAGCAGCATTAAGTTATCCTTTTTTTTCTTCAAAAATCAGTAAAGGTGTGAGACCTACAAAAATTAATCAGTAAATGCAGGTTCAGTATAGTGAGCACGTCTGTCAGTCCAGCAAGGTATGAGTGAAGCAGGGAGTTTCAAAACGCCGTGACTTCTGTGACACACTGTTCACGACCCAGTCAGGCAAATCAAGTAGTGACCTAGAGTTGATTGCAGCCTCACATCTTGGCATCAGTCAAGGTTCAGTATACCACATCACACATGAAGTGCTACAGTACAGCAACGTGTTTGCAAGGTGAGTGCCATGGCAGCTTACTCCAGAATTGAAAAGTTAGCACGCTGATGCTTGTCAAGAACTTCTGCAGTGATATAAAGTAGAAAGTGATGGTTTTCTGTCAAGAACTATAATGCAGATGAAACCCAGGTTCACTACCACGAGTCGGACATAAAGAGCGAGTAAGGAATGATGCCATCCCTCCTCATTTAAAGCAAAGAAGTTTTGCACGGAGCCATCTGCAGGGAAGGTTATGATGATTCTCTTTTGAGATGAACGAAATATTACTTTAGAGCATTACATGTCAAAATTTAACCAGTACATAGATCTTCTCAGGAATAACCTTTAACCCGCAATCAAATCAAAACAATGGGGGCATTTGAGTAAATGTGTCCTTTAGCAACATGGAAAACTTCGACCCGATACTGCCCAAGCAATGGCTGAAACCATCAAAGACCCCCACTTTCAGTGTGTACCACATCCCCTGTACTCAAGAGACCTAGCCCCAGACCTAGATTCCCCCCTGTTTGGATAACTCAATAAGTCATTGGAAGAAAAGACGTTTCAGTCCGATGAAAAGGTATACAGGTGTACATAAGTGGCGACAAGAGAATTTTTATATATACAGGAATCCAAGTACTTTATCAGCACTGTAGAATTTGAATCAAACGCAGTCGTGACTGCACTGGAAAATGATACATTTTCACAGAATACAGTTACCAAACAAAAAACATGAAAGGTTTTCAGTTAAGTCTCATCATATTTATGTGCAAAATATGTGTGTGCGCGTGCACAAATGACACATGTGCATCTGCATGCTAGTCTTCTTCTTCTTTGCATTCGGTTTTGTATGCTCAGATCAGATCATCAGGTGGGTTGCCTCTATGGACTCGCATGTCAGTAGCAGGTCCTTCATGGTTTCCCACAGCTTGCTCTGCACACTTTGCTCTTGAGGCCAGGTTTCTTTTCAAAGTTGTAGGTAGAGTGGGCAGGTCTGCAGAATGTGCTTAGATGTTTGTGCTCCTGTCTGACAGTTTGTTCTCTACACAATTCCTTGTCTTTTCCCTGATGAGTGACTAATTTCTGGTAATGACAATGAATAGGTGTGTTGTTTCTCCTTTGTTCCATTTTTTTGCAAGTCTGTCTGCTAACTCATTTCCTGGTATGTTGCAGTGAGCCAGAATCCATTGGAGAAAATTTGATTATTTTCTGAGAGCTTGTTTAGGTGGCAGGTCAGTTCTCTCTCCATGTTGTCTAATCGATCCCTCTGAGTCGCCTAGAGGACTGACGTGCAATCACATAGAAAAACAATTTTGCTGTTTTTAATTTTTCATTCCTCAAAAACTTTTGTTGTATCAATAATTGCTTGCTGCTCTGCTCTGAAGCTTGTTCAGAGTCTTCCTGAGGCGAATGATGTTTCTAGTGTGGTCCCATCTTGCAGCACGATGACCGATCCAACTCTTAGATTTTTTTCTGCTCCCTCCAATGATCCATCGGTGTATACGTGTGTCCAATCAGGTTTTTTTAGTAAGAGTTGTAGACGTGTTCAAGGGTCTTTGCATGCAGTACTAGGTCACATTCTACAGCCTTTCTGTTTATGCCTGGATCATTTCCCATGTTGAAGTGTCTTTAGAAATGTCACTGTTTTTTTTTTTTTTTGCGTATTGCAATTTTGATAGATAGTGGAAGCTTTGTCTTTTCAGTCAGTTTTTTAGTTAAATTGTTTGCTATTTTGTGCACAGGGTTGTTGTTCATGGGTTAAAATTTTTCTGTTTGGGGTAAGCACCTTTTCTTCTCTTCGATGGCTCAAGCTCTGGAGGCCAGAAGATGCCTCCAGCTCACAGATGGTGGCTTCTCATACCTCTAGTGATGATTTCTGTATTTTGTCCAGTTTGTACAGATTTGATCTGGCTGCCAGTGGAGTATGCTCCCATGCAATACTCCAGTTTTGGTGGTATGTATCCTGTGTATACTTGTCGTAAAGTGTTGGCATCTGCCCTCCAGGTTGTTGCAGTAAGTTTCTTCATAAGTCTGAGCCGCAGGGTAGCTCTCATTTGGGTGTCTTAAATGTGGAGGCACCAGGTCTTTTGTCAAAATTTACTCCCAAAAATGTGGGGTTTTCCTCTTTTGGAAGTATGTTGCCTTTTAGGTACAGATCAACTTGTTCTAGCTTTGTTGAAAGAGAAAAGAGAGTCGATACAGTTTTAGTCTGGTTTATTGTGACTCCCAAGAGCCTGTCCATTTCTTAAATGTATTCATAGCTTCCTTTCATTCTTGTTTTATTTGTTACTATGTGTTCAGCTTGGGTCCATAAGGCCAGGTCATCTTCATGTAGGGCCTTGTGAATGTGAGTTGTGAACTGTTTTGGGAGGTCATTGATTGAAAAGAAAAAACAGGGTAGGATATATAACACCTCCCTGGGGGACACCTTGTAACCTAACCAGCTTGCTCTTGTGCTGCTTCCAGTCTGACTCTCGTGCAAATGTCTATAAAGAAAGTCCCTAATCCAGGCAAAAATATGCCCTCTTATCCCATTGTGTGCTAGTTTTAGCAAGAGTCCTTTCTTCCAGACCTTGTCAAAGGCTCTGGTCAGGTTGAAGAAAGTAGCTAGAAGTTTGTATTTTTTCTGAAAAGCATCTTCAATTTTTTGTTCGAGATAAGAGGTTTGGTCATCAGTGCTTCAATATTTCCTGAAGCCTGATTGGCTATAATCTAATATTTTGTTTTCTTCCAGGAAGTTATGTAACCTGTTGTTCACTCATCTTTCCATGGTCTTTCCAAAGCAGCTTAGGAGGCTTATGGAGCGGTAACTGAATTTGTTTTCCTTGGGCTTTCTTTTCTTGGCTATGGGGAATATTTCTGCCTCCTTCCATTCCTTTGGAAGCAGTCCCTGGGTCCAGGATTGATTCTTAAGGTCTAAGAGTCGTTGCTAACAGCTCGTATCAATTTCATTTGTTATTAGATCAGATCCAGGTGCCTTCCTTTTCTTAAGGTTTCTCAATGAACATTTAAGTTCATGTAGACTAAAGAGTTAACATTTCTTGGTATTTATTTGCTTTTTATTGGTTTTCCTCAGTTCTCTCGTCACTTCTTCTTCTCTCGCTTTAGTCATGAAGATTTTGCTTTCCTCTGCAAAACTCTTGGGCTGCAGGTTTGCTGCTTGTTTACCAGTGAAAGTTTTCCCACCATCTTCAATAGTGTCAGCATGGCTAGTACCATTCTCCTCATTCAGACTCTTTACTAGACTAGATACCACAGACTTTTTACTGTCTTTCTCCATGTTAAGCTGCAGTCTTTTCCTGCCATCTTGTCCTGATGCATGTGAGTGTTCTCTTCTATAAATAGCATGCTGTTTATTGTGTTCTGTTACACTGAGGTCAGAAGGATCTTGTTCCATTTGTACTCTTGCTTCTGAGCTTTTTTGGTGCAGCTGTTGCAGTTTTTGGGTCCAGAAGGGTTCATAGTTTTGCCTTCGACCTTGGGGAATTGATTTCTGTGCTGCTTCGAGTATGATACTCTTAAGAGTTGTGGTGTTTTTTTTCTAACCTCACTGACTGGAAAGGGCTCCGATAGCTTCTTTTCAGTTGTTTTTGTAGAGGTCCCAGTCTACTTTCTTGTAGTTCCAGCTGGCTATTTTCTTACGGTTTTCTGGTGGCTTAACCTCTCCTATCATGATGACTACTGGTTTGTGATCACTTCCTCCCAGCTGTTTCATCACTTCTCTGTCTGCCCACCGTTGGGACGTTTTCTGTTGCTATAGCTAGGTCTGGTGTACTTTGTGTTCACCATCATCTAGAGTAGACGGTTGGTTCAGAATCAGGTTCATTGATTAGTATCAGCAGGTTTTCTACTATCCATTCCTCTGCCTCTTCTCCTCTTGTGCCCACAGAAGCATAGCCCCAACTTGGGGAATGACTGTTAAAGTCGCAGAGAATTAGGTGGCTCTTATCAGCTAGTTCAAATTTCTTGTTAGGACAGTAAAAGTTAGTAACGTAAAGCGGCTCTGGAAGGATATGTAGTTTTACTGTCAGATGCTTCTGGAAGTTTCTGTGGCTGCAATAGTAATTCTTACTTATGTAATGATGCCTCCTTTGTGGCCATCTCTGTCTAACCTATATGTTTTACAGTCTCTGACAGAAAAGCGAGAGCTTGTATTTAAATGGGTTTCCTGAATGCAGACATCATCAATCTTTTGTTCGTAGACACCGCATTATCTTCAGTTTTTTAGTATTATTTGACCAGTCGGATTACTCAGCTTATTCCTGATCCCCCGATGCGCAGAGCTATCATCAGTAGTTTGGGGTGGATCCCTTCGAGGCTTGGAATCCGGCGCTGGCAGTAGAACACAGGAGCAGCCCCATAATGGTGTAGGTATCTTAGTTAGTTAGTTAGTTAGTTAGTTAGTTAGTTAGTTAGTTAGTTAGTTAGTTAGTTAGTTGGGTTATCCTCATTGCACTCCGGACATGTCCATAGGTGCTCAGATCCTCCCCTCAGTATGAACCCCAACGTCCGATGGCTAATGGTACCAGTTCTATGTTGAATAACAAGTCTTCTGGCGTGTCTGGTGTGCGTCTCATTTTTTGCTGTGCGGATCTTAATTCCCAAGTCTGCCATTCTGGCGAGTGATGTGGATTCACTGCCACCAAAGTCCTCTATCCTTCCCATTTCTCAGAGGGCATTGATAATATCAGCATGATCCATAGGCTGACCGTCGGTAGTGATAGCGGATCCAGCCAACCTGTCAGCTCTTTCATTTCCATCGATGCCTGCGTGTCCCGGAACAAAAATAAAGGTGACTCCACGCACAGTGGTCTTCTGTAATGATTCAAGCCATTGTCTTCGCACTGAACCTGCCTGAACCCTCCGGGTGTAGGTATCTAAGCATACTCATTAACCATAGATTGCGCTTATGTCCATTTCCATTTTTGGGTGCCCAGGCAATTCAGGTTGGCATATCCGTCTTCAGAAGGAGAAGTTATAGAGTCTCTCTTTCCATGTCCTAGTAAAAAATCAGAGGTTGTGGGAGTTTCCTTCTCCGACTTTGATTATCCAGAGTAGGCTCACTATGTGTGACCTTGGTGGGAATCGAGACAAGTCCTCGTGCCGATGGGCCTAGCAAATGAAACTTTCATGTGGCTATACAGGAGGAATATCATGCAGAGATACCTTGACTACATGATTAATAATTTAGGATGTTCACTGGAACTCCCAACAGCACTGCAGAATTAAAGGCTTATAGGACAACATCAGCATAATAAATTAAAACACTTTAAGAATAAGTATCTTTTCTGTTGCATGTAGAATGTCATTATTCGTCTACTTGATCTGTGATATTCTAAGAATTGTTATGTCACTTTGTAAGTTCTTCTTCTTTTTTGCATTCACCGGATGCAAACTCCAGCGGAAAGTTCAGGTTGTTCGTCCACTTCTGGACTCCATTCCTGTTCCAGAACCTGAGTATTTTGTGTACATCTGTTTCCCAGATTTGACTTATTTGCATGCAGACTGTTGGGTCCCTGCCTATCAGGCAGATGTACTCCGACTTTGAAGGAAGCTCCCAAATAATCGACTCTTACGACATGCTTTTGGGCAGGCAGTGGGTCTGTCTTTTCTTGTTTTCCCCCCACAATATGCCCAGGAACCCACACATGGAATTTTTAAAGTTTTAAAGTCCAAAAAGCTCTGATTTTTTTCTTCCAGTAAGATGGTTCATGACTCATCTGACTTCCAGTCCAATATATGGATAGGCAGGACAACTACTTAGTCTAGGCAAGCTATTTGCTTCTAGCCACTAACAGCTGTAGCATTTTCTCTTATATGTGAATTCAAAGTATATAGCTCCATCACACTAGCTATTGAGTAGAGTGCATGGTGTGATACTATGAGCAGCACATTTCATTTGGAGTGCTTTTCAACTGGCATTATTAACCACAGAGCGCTGAAATATATTTTGAGAGGAGAATCTGAGCACACATGAACATGTCAAGAGTGCCATAAGGAAATCAAACTCATAATTCAGATAGATAATTTTAGCCCTGTACCTCAAAGCTGCGAACAAGAGGAAACAAATTTCATAGCAGCGGAAGTAAGAGCAGTTATACAGAACAGCCCCAGAAACAAAGCACCAGGTCTGGACAGAATTAATACAGAAGGGATCCAAACATGTGCAGAAGTGGGTGTAAATTGGCTTACTATAATTTTTAATATAGCTTGGGAAGAAAGAAAAGTCCTAGCTGAGTGGCAACAGGCACTAATAGTACCGTTATGGAAAAAGAAAGGTAATAGGAGAGAATGTGAAGCATATAGAGGTATATCACTACTGAGCCACGTAGTGGAAATGTACGCCAAATTACTAGAACAGAGAGTTAGACACATAGCTGAACAACAGTTGAGTGCATCACAATTCGGTTTCACAAAAGGCAGAAGATGCACAGATGCATTATTCACTCTGAGGCAAGTGTGTGAGAAAGCCATTGAGTATAATACCAAACAGAATATTGCTTTTGTAAATCAGGAAACAGCTTTCGACAAAGTGGATAGAAACAAACTGTGGTCTGTTCTTGAGAACTATGGGGTACAAGGACAGTTACTAGAGAACATCATAGCCCTGTACCACACAAGCCAAAGTGCAATACGAACACAAGAAGGCATTTCAGATATGTTCACAATCAACACAGGTGTGAGACAGGGATGTATGCTCTCCCCACTTATATTTAACATTTCTACAGACAGAATATCTAAAGAAGCAAGTTCTGATACAGACAACATAGATCTTTATAATCATGAGGAAGTACACACATCAGAAAAAAGTTATTGATTCACCCACATTTAACGAATTACTATTTGCTGACGACCAGTGCTTGTTCTACCCTTAAGAAGATAGACTGCAAGACCACATTAACAGGTTAAACTCAGCATGCAGTAAATACAACATGAAGATCAATAAAAACAAAACCGATTCATTGCAAGTTAGTAGAGCCCCTGGCCCACTACACATACAGCTGAATGGTGCTGGTCTGAATCAAGTTAGATAGATTAAATATCTAGGAAGTATGATCATGGAATGGAAGATGGTAGAATTGACAGAGTAATAGAAACCAGATGTCAGAAAGCAAGTGCACTTATATACCAACTGTCACCATTATTTAGAAATTCAAGCATAACTATGAGTGCAAAGAGACATTATAAACAGCATATGCATTCCAACATTAGGCCATGTGTAGCCCATACATGCAAAATCACCACCTGCGAGATGAGATGCCTAACCATCCGAGATTGAGTGAATAATGAAGCTATCAGGCAAATTGTGGGAACGACACCTTGAACTAGATTCATCGAGAAACAGCAGATCAAGTGGTTTGGCCATCTTGTTAGAATGCAGCAAGATCAAATACCATCACAAGCAGTACATCTCAGAAGATCAGCTACAAGAGCAAGAGGATGGCAGCGGTAAATATGGATCAACAACAATAAAGACACTCTACGTTTTCCCAGCATGACAATAGCCAGTGGCTGCCAGCGTGAACTGGATCATAAATTATTCATCCCCACGAGGCTTAACACAGAAGTGTTTGATGATGATGAATTCAGATGCACAAATAAACATATGTGTATGCACACAATCTTCTTCTACTTCTCTTCCACTCTGTACATCATGCATGCACACAATTACACACACACACACAAGAAATAATCGTTAAACAAACCTTGTCAAGCTTCCTGCTAGTAAGCAAATGTATGGCACTGTGGTACTGTCCTGTATAATACATGGCCTGTGCATACCAGAAGACATCCTCTACAGCTGAAATACAACATTTCATACATAAATAGTAACTAGTCACTTCTCAAAAAGCAAATAAAAACCCATTGGTATGATTTTACTCAGGTTTGCTAGCCAGGTGCTACTTGTAACTTTACAGACAGCATCTTTACCAACCATCTTGTGCCATATTTCCTGGACAATTCTTATCTTCTTCTTCTGTCTTTTAACCCTCAATGGAGCATAGGCAATCAACCAAATCAAGTCATTATATCCTTTGCTACTGCATGCAGCTTTCCCCATGTCTTCCTCATTTTTTTTTTAAAGTCACTCTCTAGCTCCTTTCTCTGTTAATTTTGGTCTTCCTTTACCTCTATTGGCCTGTGGGTTCCAGTGCAAAAGATATTCTAGTTATACTGTTCTCATGTTTTCTCAATGTGTGCCCTATCCAACGACAGCATCTTTTCTTCACCTCTCAGTCCATTCGAGCTTGTTTAGTTCTTTATCAAAGCTCCTTATTAGTGATTCTATATCATTTAATTCCCTCTATTATGCGCAGGCACCAGTTAATGATGAATGTAGTTTATTAGTAAATGCTTTGGTTGTTCTCCATGTTTCCGCTCCATAAATTAAACATTTAAGTTTAACATTAGTTTTAATTTTTTTAATTTCTTTTGACCTCCAAAAATTTCCTAGTGCTATGAAAGCTCCTCTTGCCTTTTGAATTTGTAGTTGAATACATCTATCAGTTCCCCCATCTTTATCTACATTACTGCCCGAACAGGTGTAAGACTGCACATCTTGGAGTTTGAAACAATTAAGAGAAACCACATTACTATTTGCCTAATTTATTTTCATTATAAGGATTTTCAGACCAAGCTGTTGTCATCTTGTATCAAATATATTTATCTTGCATTTGATTCCATTAGTGGGACAGAAGAGAAATACTATCAGTGATGCCCAGATCATCAAGCTGTTTTGTAAGGGTACACTGAATTCGATTCCTGGTGTTAGCAGTTGCTGTCATCATAATCCAGTCTACTACCAATAAAAACAGGAGAGGCCACAAAAGGCATCCCTGTTAGACACCTGTTTTTTATTTCAAATGTATCTGTTTGTTAGCTTCCCCTCGTGAAGAACTCAACATTTCATGTCTTTATATGTTGCCTTTACTAAGTTAATAATTTTCTGTGGAATCCAAAAGAAAATTCTTATCAAATGTAATATTTTACCTGCTATAGATCAACCTGTCTATTGTCCCCAATCTACCTACAGGGCATCACGTTTGTGTCTCTCTCAGTCTCCCCATGAATCTTCTATCTGCCTGCCTAAGACGACTGTGTTTGTAGCTATGTTGACAAATCGTAAGAGAAAAAAAAGTCTGATGTCTTCATGACACTGATCCTGTATCTTTACTTGTTCACAAGTATACTGGTTGGAAACCCTTGTTTGTTGCAAGCCCTGAAGTTATCAACAAGTTGCAGGTGATAAACTCCACAGGAAACATTTAAACTTACCATCAGATAAAGAAACTAGTTTGTCAGCCCAGAAAAGTGCACAATCGTAGTGTTGCTGTGGATAAACATTGTTTAAGAAAAAAATGTGATGGAATACATTAACTTTTCATTAAACTGTTTAGACTGGCAAGTAAAAGTCAAAACAACTTAGGCTGAAAAGACAGCTAGGGTAATTTAAAAAAAAAAAAAAAAATAGAGAGACCAAGGAAGGTAAAGGTATCAAGACGGGCAGTCAGTAAGCCAAGAAATAAAGCAAATGGCACAAATCAACAAGCACAGATCAGCAAACAAACTGAACACTATTTTTTTTTTAGTTTGTATTGTAGTAGAGTAAGTCTCTGATCCAACTGTAAACTGTTTATGTCAACTTTCCAACTGTACATAAAACTGGTCTATGATTCTGCAATTATTGCAGGCTGATTTCTAGAATTCCCTTCTAGGTATGATATGATTGTAAATTTTAAGCATAACATGTTCATAATATTTCATCACCAATGGTAGTTGAATTACAGAAAACAATAATTTTATTTTCAATAATTGTGTACCTCTTTCCTTTCCCCACTGCAAGGACTAATCAGTAACTATTAACCTTTTCTAATAATAGTTCAATGACACAAGATTCCTAAGCAAATGATTAATAGGCCAAGGAAAGCATTTGGAAAAAAATTGTGACGAATGTAGAGGGGAAGAAAACACTAAACAAATTCTGGAATTTGCAACAATAAATGAAAAAAGTACCATTCGTCAAATGCCAAATATTCAAGATTCAGGAGGTAAAATATTGACAAGTGACAAGGAGAAGGGGCAAGAGTTTTGTAGGCAGTATTTAATCCAAATCGATACAGACGATAGGACAGATCAGTACAACACTCTAGAGAATCTCAGTATAGCACTGTCATAGACAACGATTATTATGTGGCTGAAATCGACATGCAGGTAGCATTACGAGCAACAGAAACAATGCTCAGGGGCATGCTATGACCAAATCAAATAGTTAAGTAATGAAGACATAATAAGAGTGGTGGGGGACTTTAATGATAGTATCCAAACGTCAAATGTCCCAGATGACTGGTTACATAGTTACCTTAAACCATTTCCAAAACCAGGCAGGGTCCCCTCGTGGCTCAGCAGTTATAGAATCATAACCCTGCAAAATGTGTATGGTAAACTGCTGGAACAAATTATGGCAAAGAAAGTGATGTTACACTTAGAAAGAAAGGGCATGATACCAGACACCATGGACAGCTTTGTGCCATCAAAGGTAACATGGGACAATGCTGGAACTCGCATATGATGTGTATGAAGGATTTTAGCAAAAGCAAGAAACAGACGCTGTCGCTATAGATCTTAAAGATGCATATTACAGCGTTGACTTCACATATCTTATGCAGTGTGTAATGGACTGTGGTGTGAACCCCTGGTTAGCTAATTGGATGATATAGACTTCTGGTTTTGAAATGGCGGCGCCAAGATACTTTTGTGGCAACACGTGACATTATTATTACAGTTTATGATTTATTTGTGTTTTTTCAATAACAAAGTGCCTTTGTTACAAAATCATTTGTGACGGATATTTTGTTATTCATGGAAACTAAGTATTCTGTGGTTTAGGGGTGTTCTGATAAAATTAACAAACAATCTCATCCTAACATCGATAATGCAGCTGTAGTAGCCATGCTCCATTTAAAAACATGGGAGTCCACGAGTAAGACCACAGTCTACCCTAGCAAAATAAGGCGCTGAAGTCGGAGGCAACCAGCCAGGAGGCGCACCACCGCTATCAGAATGCCATGCACAACGCAAAAAAAAATATGTTTCTTGCCATGTGACCGACTCATGTACATGTGCAACGTCTTACCGGCCTACATCTAGTAGAAAGGGTCCAGCTACATATACTGGAAGTCACCTACAAAAGCCTTGTAGAACCAGAAAAGCAGAAAATACAGCTAGTCTATAAATAATGCACTGGAACATGGAACACCTTGAACGAAGAACAGATACACATATGCTGCCTTCAAAAGACCTACCTCAAACAAGAAAATAGCCTTCAAGATCAGAGGCTTCCGGTATTTCTGATCTGATTAAAAAGATAGGAGAAAAGGTGGAATTCTTACTCTGGTCAAAAATAATATCCTTGTGTGCCAAACTGAAACATACACAGAGGGTGCTGAGTATCAAACACTTCAGCTGAAGACAGTAAATACAGATTTTCATCTGATCAACTATTACTGTCCGAGCGATGGGCACTGAAAAAATAACAGCAAATGAAAGAATGATCATTTGTGGAGATTTTAATAGCCACTCCCAAAGTTGGGGTTATGATCACATGGATCAGAGAGGAGAGAAACTGGAGGACTGGCAGGATGAGAATAGATTCATTAATTAGCCAACCGACCCACCAACCTTTTACTTAAGAGCATGGCATTCCACCTAGACACCAGACCTGGCCTTTGACTCACAAGATATGGAACTGAATGTTACAAGTTACAAGAACTATTGGGAAACAATTAGGAGGCAGTGACCACCGACCAGTCTTTGGGACAGTGGAAAGCCAGTCTGTAAGACAGAGCAGCATTCTGCCAAGATGGAATTATAAGAAGGCAGACTGGAAGTTGTATCAGCACCACACACATGTTCCGATTGAAAATCTAAACACAGATAATGATGCAGAAAATGTAAAAGAGTTCAGCAAATGCATACCGCAGGCAGCACTAGAGGCAGTACCAAGAGGTACGCGTAAAAAATATAAACCATACTGGAAAAGTGATCTAGAGAAACTGCACAATGATATGGAAACAGAAAGAAAGCAAACTGAGACCAGACCTTGTCAAAAGTTCAGACCTGTCAAAAGCAGTTCAACAAATACCAACATGCAAGGCTAAATTTCAAAACAGCCAAGCTGCAGGCTAGATGAACAAGCTGGCAGGAAAAAACAGTATCTAAACTTTGAAAGAGACACAAGGAAACTGTGGAGGCTGGCAAAACAAAAATAATGATAAGAGTACAGGGAAAAATGCAAATTTTGCACTATGCAAAGAAGAAGCCATCCTATTAAGAAAACAGGCAGCTGACCACTTTAGCAGATTCTTTTGCCGAAAACAGCAACATTAATGTCAGCCCAGCAAAAACAGCGAAAGGCTTGAGAGAATCAGCAATATACAAAATTATATAATTCCTGAGAAACTGATGGCAGTACTTTTATGCCTAGCGCGCTAGAGTTAGCAATTTCAAAGCTGAAAATGGGAAAGTCACCTGGAATTGATGGAAAAACTAACGAAATAATAAAGAATCTTCGGTAAACAGCTAAAATAAGCTGCTACAGATCTTTAATCATTGTTGGACCAGTGGCAAAGTTCCCCAGATATGGAGAGAAGCAATCACGATACCCCTCCTTGAACCAGGAAACGACAGTTCCGATGCCTCCAGCTTTATACCAATCAGCCTTACCAGCTAACTCTGTAAAACAATGGATTGCATTGTCAATCTTTCCAACAGTATCTGGAAAGTGAAAATGTCTTCAGGCTGCAGCAGGCAGGATTTTAGACAGTGCTACTCCACAGAAGATCTAAGACAAACTTACCTGTCGCAAGAAATTGAGGATGCCTTCCACCTCCCAGGGGGGAAAAAAGCTGGTGCTGGCAGCATGGATAGATCTGAAGAAAGCTTTGACAAGGTCTGGAAAGAAAGCCTCATGAAAAAACTGAGGAACTACAAAGTGAATGGGAATAAGTACAAAAGGGTAAAAGTGTACTTTTACAACAGAAGAGCCCAAGTACGGATAGACAGACTCAAGAGTAAGAAAGTTTTGATTTTCCATGGTGTCCCCCAAGGAGGTGTCTTGTCCCTATGCTCTTTCTAGTCTATATCAATTACCTAGTTTCTGAACTACCCCATGGAATTACTGCTATGTATGCTGATGACTTGGTACTATGGAATAGGCAACAGTGGCTACTAGACTGCTACAAAGATCCATAGATGCAATGGCTGAATGGGCTGATAAATGGTGTGTCAGCATCATCACAGGCAAATGTAGCATCACCCTCTCTCCAAAACAAAAATCAGGTGTCATCCACATAAATGGAGTACCTCTAAGAGGATAAGGAGCCCACATACCTAGGAGTCACTTCTGGTGACAGGTTAACATGGAGAAAACACATCAACAAAGCAGCAACAAAAGCCGTAAGGAGGGTAGCCATCCTGAGAAAACTAAGTGGAACCACGTAGGGTGCTAGTGGAAAAAATACTTAGGAAAGTTTACCAACAAAGTGTTCGACCACACGTTGAATATGTTAAACCACACGTTGAATATGTTCGACCACACATTGAATACAGATCAACATCATGAAGCTCAGCATTAAAAACCATACTACATGAGTTAGACAAAGTGCAAAATCAAGCACAAGAGTTACAACAGGCAGTATGAAATCAACACCTATAGCCGTGATGGATAAAATGGGGAAACCAAGATCTGAGTGAACGCAGAGACACCAAGATGCTAATACAAGCAGAAAAGTTTCTTAGCATGCCTAGTCATGCTTTGAATGAAAGATTCCAAAATCTAGCAATGGGGCAACTAAAAAGAAGCAGTTTCATCCACCAGGTCAAACGGCTCTGCAGACAAACCAATGATCTGCCTGCAAACTGATAGCTCCTTAAATGCTGTTCCAGAATGGACTCCCTGGAGAGAGAAGTGTGAGTTTCCAAAACACTTCAAGACAAAGTGAAAGGAGTATTTGACAAGGAAGAACAAAACAGTGTGCAGCGTAAAACAGCCACTCTCAGTCTACTTGATGATGAATACCCAAAGAATCTTTAGGTCCGTATTTAAGGATAGGTCATCACAAAATGCAGAAACGGAAAAGCAGGAGTGTGTACTGAGCATCCTAATAATACCAGGGATACATCTAAAATACCAACAGGAAAGCACTGTCACAACTATGATGCAGAAGCTAAAGCATCAAGATAGCAGCAGAGAAACTACTAAACACTGGGTACATCTCACAACCAATGGTACTTCTGACAGATGCAAAAGCGGTACTTCAGGCACTCAAGTCT